ATAATAATTACTGTCGCTGCATTTCAAACTTGTAGCAGTATTATTGTTGCCGGTTAGTTGTTGTGTTTTAGATGCCTGCCTAGCAAATTATATACATAAGGCCTAAGTAAGTTTGTTTCTTATTTTTCTCATGGGTTTGTTACACTTCTTAAGCATTGCACTTGGGATTTTTGTTGGAGTCACTATGACCGTACGTGAAAATTAAAAGGGGTTTTAAATGCATAATTCTTAGTTTTTTAACGAATTTCATAGTGATATAAATAAGTTCAATAACGACCTATGGTCATCTACCTGACGATAATGGTCAAGTTTTTTGCCTGTGATATACGTTTGTGCGTTTTTACGAAGCAGTGAAGCAGCGTCATGGCTGGACCTATACCAACGTCTCAGCCACTCTGATTGTCATCTACCCGATGATGGGTATGTTCAGGTTGTCGAGGACATGACTATTTCAGCCGAATCTATACTTTTTTTACTTATATAAGATTTACTTATATTTTTGGACTCTCCCTCTTTCAATTCAACTCCTTCAATAAACGGCCGATTTTTTTTTAATAGGATGATAAACTTACAAACCATTATTTTATGGATAATTTGTTTATACTTTATTCAAATATAGTTCTAGGTAAACATTGTTGAATGCACTATGGTTGTGTATGTGGTAATTTCACACATTCGCAGTTTAAAGGCAATCCAAACAATTTAGCTGTAGAATGGCCGAGTAAAGTGTGTTCTCTGTCAAACTGTGGAAAACAATCCGCACACTTAAGGGAGTATAGTTTACACTTCAATATGTGTTAGAAAAAACCTATTCATATTTAATATTTTAATGTTGGCAAGGGTAAATATGATTAATAAACCAACATTATGATCCAGGATTTTCGTGGATTTGTATATAGTTAAGAGAAACTATATTTTATTATTAGCTAACCCAAGCATAACCTATTACTGACGTCAGTTTATGTTCAATACAAACTGTACCATTCCTACTCAAGTTATATACTGTACTTCCTTAATTTTAAATAATATTTCAGAGTGTCTGCTATTTGTGTGCTTTAACATTGAACTTGCATTGTTGTTCATTGATAAGTGAAATATGTCAAACTGTGCAAACAAGTAAACAAATTGTTCATTAAAAACACAAACTATAGTCTGCCAGACACGAAGGCTTGCAAGTTAAAATCAATACCTGAATAACTGAATTTTTGAATAAAGTTGACGATAAATTTTTAACAGCTACCGGCAATTCTCTTGTTAGTTATCTTTTTAAGTGGTTATTTTTATTCTTTCTTATATTATACATACGTTTTTACATTTTGTCTAGGTTGATACCGGTACCTTGTCTTTTTTAATTGAAAATGTCTTAAAAGCAAAGACCTTAAAATGTAGGGTTTTACAGTTGTGGGTGTTTTGTAGCACTTGTATGATCATTGTGAGAAAGGGTCGCCTGTGTAGGTGCTTATTTTAACCCAAATATTGAGTGAGGGATGAGTGCATCGATCTCTATTATTACTAATAGAGATCGATGGATGAGTGTAATGGTCTGTGTAGCTTTGTTCCTGACTAGATCAGCTGTTTCGTTAGCCAGGATCATCCTCCTTTAATAGTCAAGCATGTATCTTGAAAATATTTTTTCTCAACACTTGTGCATCACAGGGAAAAAAATCTACGCATACTGTTAGAATGATAATTTTCTTTAGATGTGCAGAATCCCTTTATAAATAAAAATAGGCTCAAAAATAAGCACAATAAATGAATTTTAAAAACTAACATGAGCCTTATGGGTTGCCATGCTCGTGACGAAATAACAACGAAATATAAACAGAAAATCAAAACAAATAAAAGAAATTCCAATCGCATGTTTTATTTACAGCGGGGTAGAAATAGAGAAGTCTGTACATTACATATTTTTGTGATTTTTCGACCACTGGACGGCCTCTAGTTTTATTTAAAGCATAATGATCAGGAACAGCTGAGTACAGTCCAGTTTAGAACCATTTTAAGCTTCATCGGAGAGTACTGTACTGTGAAGTATTTGAGTCTATTTCTTCGTATCAAGCAGGTCTGGTCATGTCTGGAGGAAGGCCAAGTTGGCTCCTAATAATACCACAACCTGCCACAGGCTGAGGTTACTTAACTGTTTACAGCAAGAATTCAGCCTATACACCTTCCCTTGCCCTCCAATACACAAGAACTGATAATGTTACTCCAATATTAATGATATTAGGGACTAACATAAAAAATTGGGACGATTGTGTAGAATGTAACCGAAGAAGTTTCATAAAAAAATTTTATTAAGATGTTAAAACAGCACTTTCGGCTTATGACTTATTTTATGATCGTATATTATTATTTTTAAGATTAAAATTAATATAAGTTCAAGGGTACATAATTCTCCCCACAAAAGAATAACACAGTAGGTAGCCTACACCTAACATCAAAATTATGTCAGCAACTAATGAAAAACCTGGAATGTTTTCTGGAGCATTATTAATTACACTCAATAATAAAATATGCATATGCATTTAATTTTAGTTTTCCGCCGCAGTTTCAAGAACTTGAATTATATTAGATTACCTTTGCTGTTGTAGCCTGTAGTTCTTAAGTACCGTAAGTAAGATGTTTGTGTCATACTAAAACATAGGGTGACACAAACTTCTTACCTAATCAAAAACTACAGTCTAACAACTACTGTAATATAATATAGTTTTCTATGAGTTCGCGTTAGCATACTTGTACCTATGGTTTCATTAATGAAAATAAACGTTAGCTATCTTTGAAGTTATGTTTATTTTTTATTTGTTAGTAGCCTAGCTACAAGTGTGTGAATCAATCTAAAAACAAATTTCTGTTTCACATACCTATTAGGCCAACTAAATCTTGTTTGTTTTGTCCTTGAACTAAAGTACGTTTTTGCTAGGTTGCACGCACAATTCAAACCATTTAACTTTTTTTCTTATCAAAAATAGTTTACATTATTTAACCCTTGAACTTTTTTCACTGCAGACTGCAATATTACGGTTCAATTTTGAAATCACGACCATTCTTATATTTTGTAAGTTAATCTCATCACGTCCTTCAGCTATCCAAGTTTTTTTCTAGTCATTGAGCTATATTGTTTTGTTTTCCTATTATAATCAACTTCTTATTATAGATTTAATTTACTGGTAATCATCCATGAAACATCAAACATAACAGGATAACCTTAGATATTAAGGTTAACACAATATAGTCTACAAAAAATCATATTGTGCAAGTATTATCAATACAAAACAAAAAAACTGGCTCAATCCAGTAATTTAATTGTTTTCTTAAATGTTAGATAAAACTAGTTTGAGCAAGATAACAATTACACTTTGTTCAGTGAGTAAGAAAACATGAGAAGAGATAAACTGATAAATTATGTAATTAGAAAATGTAATAAGAATGGGCACTGGCTTGTAGTTATTGTTGCTGATAAAAATAACAATAGCTGTGTACTTACTGTTTATTCTTGGAGAATGTGCAATTATTTTTCTGCGGAATTCAATGCTTTGTATTATTAACTGTGACTATACAATACCTTAAGTCTAAACATTTCCATCCATTCACTTAAACATTGTTGGGCATTCCAGGAAAAAAAAATAGTTTCCTGGACTTCATTGTAATTTTAAAACTTAATACAAATGTACCTGCAAGGATAAATCATTAGAAAAACAATAATTTTTTTCACAATTAATGTTTGAGAATGTTTGTATCAACCTTTTCTTTTGAATATCAATTGTAAATTAGGGTTTCAACAATTATTTTTCAATATGAAAATAGGAATACTTGCTAGACTGATGACATTTATTTGTGGCCTCAGACCAACGCTTCGTCCCACGTGTAGCTATTGGCCTCCTGTCCCCTGTGAATTGGGCACTTTTTCAATGATGCAACAATTTTAAAGTTCAACATGTCAATGCAACATTCAAACATGTTCTAATCACTAATCTGTAAAACTAGTCGCAGAAAACATAATTGACTATACAGTTCAAATACGAGTTTCAATTAAGAGTTGAGTGAAAGGTTGTTGTAAATTGTAATTCAAAAGTATGTAGTTATTATTATTTTATTAATTTATCAGAATATAAACTTGAACAGGGTTTGTTGAATTGCGTTTATTTTTTATAATAAATTATTTTATTTATCCTATGGACTTTGACACTAAATTCCCCCAAATTTGTTTATATTTTCTCTTTTGCATGTAGACCTACCGTATATGCTGCAATTTAAAATATTTCCAATGGCTAATTTTGTTGTTAAAATGTCAGGATTAATAGATTTTTAATGTTCTAAAAAACCATAAGAAACTAAATAGCTTTGAATCTGTAACCAGATTATAGAGGATAAAACGCATCCTGAATATAACGATGTTCTTTCTTCTATGGGAGGACTGAAAAAATCTCTGCATGAGAACTCCATTGGCTAAGGAGGAAAGAACGCACAATCTCAACTACATAATTGTGTACCCCAACCTTGTCATCACTAATGACACATAATCATGACAACACAATTGGATTGAGGAAGCGTGAATTTTGTGGCAATGTCACAAAAATAACAAAGTACACTCAACCTCAATTTTAAGTTCATAAAGGAAAGGAGGTTGGAAATGAGGGCATTTCTGTTTAAACATGTATTGAAATTAAAAAAAAAAAAATATTTTAAACAGCTTGAATGGAAAGAACCCTGAGGATAAAGCAATCAGGACGCGATACGGGCTTAACTACAACTACTTCATGTTATTTTTATTCTGTGGCTCTGTTAAACACAATTTAGTTTTACTTGTCTTGGAAGGTACAATAGTTCCTATTGCATTTTTTGTTGGAGTAAAGAATTTTAAACATTGCTTTTTAGTGCAGTCCAAAATATACAATCTATTTGATAACATTTTGAAATAGGCACGCTGAAGAATCTAAATTCTTTTTCTCAAAATACCGTAAAAAAATATTTATTCTAACCGTATTTTCCGTTTGTTTCAGACATTGCAAGATGGAGGAGGGCAGCAGTCTGTTGTTTGACAATGTGGTGTTCGTGGGTTTGATCCTGATGTCGGTCAGTGTCGCCCTGTGGTCCAGGTTCTCCGGACCCAAGGAGAGAACGAAGGCAGACTACGTGTTTGCTGCCAGTAACTCTGTCTCTGTAGGCATGATGATGTTCTCCATCGCAAGAGGTTTCCTTGGAGTCAGGGTGTTTTTAGGTAAGAATTTTAAAGACAACTAAACAATTAAATTTTGAATGACACATTATTAAAAGGAAACAGAAGAGTAAAAGTCCTTGTGAACAAGCTTATAACTTAATTTTAACTGTTTTATGTTGTTTTATCACTTAAGAATCGCCTAAGAGTGAGAAAAAATAAATGTGTTCTCTGAACATGAAGTTTGTCTGTACAAGATCTCTGAAGTATTTGAGTAACAAAAGGCCTGCAGTTTGCATGGGACCAATATGTGACTGGAGCTATGGGTAATTGGCCCTTCTTCGCAGGGAGTTTTTCTCTTCTTTGCACCCCCAACAAACCTAAACCCTCTTGCACCTCTAGGCCTGGGCCCACAAGTGTCTGTGGTGTATGTACATGTACACTTATGTACTAAAGTGGCCCGTAAGCTACCCATTTAACACAAAGAATGTATTTTTCTACAAAACCTTGAAATAATCAAACTTTTAAAAGTCCATAATCTGTTGAAACACTTAAATAAAACTTGTCTATTATTTCTTATTTTTACTATACCCACATTCTTTAATGGGAAACTCTTCACCAAGTCAAATAAAACTAGGATCTTTGTCAATGCCTACTACAACATTGACTAAATAATGAAGAAAGGATTAGGAGATGGCATGACTGGCCATAATGTTAAACATGTTACTCGTGTTTGGTCCAAAACAAATTAGTGAAATTTCAAATGGTTCAAGGAGTTAGGAAAGATTCTCTTGACATTGACAACAATGGTATTGGCACTCTTTCTCATAGGTTTGAGAAACTTCTCATAAGTGGCTCTACCTAGTGTACAATTTATTTATGTTCTTTTTTACACTCAGGTTATGGATCTTGCAGTGTTGTAGAGTGAAATATTTTCTGTGTTAAATTGTTAATGACAGTGAACTGACTTGCCATTCCAAAAAGGCACCTAGGCCTACTCAATACACAAATGAACTCTTTTAAATGGCCTTGCTTGTGAATCTAGGATTTACCATTTTCTCATTTTATGTACCAACCCAGAAAATTTAATCGCCTCTTCAACTAACTGATCTTGTGTCATTCAAAGTCCTCTTGCATCAGATAAGTCAATCAATGGAAAAGTTCATTTAAAATAGCAATAAGACGTGAGATTAAGGGTAGTAAACGATTATGCACTTGGTTGGCTTGTTTGTTGTTTACCTTACTTGTGAGTTTGTACACTGTTCAGTACTGAGAAGGCAGAAGCCTCACATGGGCCATTCACGTGCAGTCGCTGGCTGGTGGGCCTTAAGCTCCTTATCTGAATCAGTCCTACACGTTTTGGCGGTCACATGGCCCAGTGTGAATTTGACCTTATAAAATATGACTGTCGGTATGAGCTTCCCCATCAATAAACCAAAAGGAACATATAGCCCCTATCAATACTAATAGTCGTTACCTTGTACCAGAACTAATTGTTTTGATTTTCTTTCAAGGGACAATCAATGAAAAAAATCATAAAATAAAGAAAAAATATACTGTAATTTAGGTCAGAGGAAAGTAAAGGTTGACTACAGGTATGCCTATTTTCCATTAAGAAATTTGCTATTTTACTAGCAATATTTTAATGAATTTTTGGTCGGTTTAATTTTTTTTTTTAAATACAAATCTAAGATGATAGATCAAGGGATCCATGTAAATTGTAAAGACAGATCTGAAATTGAGGACGAAAATAAAGAAATGAATTAAATAAAGACAATCTAAAAGAGTTATAGGATTTATCTTTTATACATAATTTTGTAAAATGTCATTAAATGTTCTGTAAATTTAATTTATGAAAACTACTACCCACAAACAATATCTACAAACTAAATTAAAATTTAGAAAAAAATCAATCATTGTTATACATGCATTTGTTTACATGTGCTATTCATTCTTTCATTTAATACAATAAATGACTACATGTTCAAGTAAAGGATGGCTGTTATACAAGTGTTCCTACCCGACCATCTTCACTACAACATACTAATGTTTTTGTCAAGTTGGCACCCATTTCTCAGAAAGTTGTGTGGTATTTGTGGCAGGTTATCCATCTGAATTGTTCTACAGAGGGACAGCCATGTGGGAAACACTTTACGGAATGATAATTGCGTTTCCTATTGTCTGCTTCTTCTTTGTTCCTGTATACTACAGTCTTGGAATTACTTCTGTGTACCAGGTACAAAACATCTTTTCACCATTAGCAATATAATTGTTTATATTAACTGTAAGTTTTGTTGCATGGCTAAACAAATGTTGATCAATTTTGTTTAATTTAACTAAGGGATTAATCTATACTTATTTAATACGCAAGCAAGTTTTTTGTGACAATTACTCCTCCGAAACTACTGAACCGATTGACATGATTTTGGTGTCATTTGAAAGAGCGTAATGTGAAGTTGTGCAGGAAACTTTCTTTTTAGCTAAATAATTAAAGAATGAGGCCCTGGGGCCCTTTAAAGTTGCATATTTCTCCATAAGATTAACATGGGGAACAAACATTGTTATGTAACTCCAGCTGTTGCCAGAAATGCTGTTCTGCTATTTAATTTAATTTGTTTACAAGGAGAATTGTTTCTTGGTGCCATGTGGTAAATGAATTATACTTTTAGCATATATATTTTAAATGCTATACACTATATAAAATGATAGTATTGTAATACATTGAGTGATCTTCATTTGAATAATCAATAAGCACGATTGAGCCTTTGCCTATATGTTTCCTATTAAGTGTGTTGTAACTGTTTCTTATAGTATATTATAGTATCTCAAAGTAAAACCGAATTATTCTTTTCTGTATTCTCACCCCGTAGCGAAGCACGGGTAGAGCAACTAGTTATAATTAATTTACAAACATACTTAGAACATTTTTATTTTGAATAGCTACAGTATGGTGGTATTGTTGAGATATCTCAAATAGACCAGCGACATTTTAAATTTTAACTAGACCCTACATTCTACAAGTTTATCAAGATTAAAACAAGATGTTACAACTTTTAATTGGACCCAAATAACTCAGAAGTATTCTTATCTAAACTGGAGTTTAAGAGACTAATTTTTTTGACACTCTATGTCATATATTTCTTTCAAGTACAATAAAAATACTGATTGAATGTTTTTAATTTTAATTTTTAAGGGTCAGCCTCAGAGTAGCTTAGCTTGAGTAGTTTTTGACTAATGAGGTATTGTAAAATCAGAAAATAAATTCATCATTGCTCATTTTTTACTTAAGTATGTGTTTTAAGTACTATAGGTTTATTTTTATTATTTTATTCAATATTATTTGTGTACTTAATACAACTTTATCATTCCCAGTATCTTGACATGAGGTATAAGTCCAAGCTGGTGCGGATGCTTGCTTCAGCCACTTACGTGTTCCGCAGTTTGCTAAACCTCGGAGTCACTGTGTTTACGCCCTGCGTCGCCCTCAAGACCATATTCGGCTTCCCCTATTCTGCCTCAATCTGGGGGATCGTTTCATTCTCGTTCATCTTTACTCTCATTGTAAGTAGTTTTTTTTTTTTTTTTTTTATTTCTCTTTTAATATAAGCCTGTGATTTGCTACAGTATGTATGGTTCTGTAAAGTGGAATAAGCTCCCATTTTCGCAAAGGATTTGTCAATAAATTTATCACAAGTTTAGAAAATTGATTCTGTTATAAGATCTCTTTGGAATCAGTTATAAAACAGAATGAATCATGACATTGATATGTGAGTAGAGATTACATAGGAATAAAGTAGATGTTTGTGTCCCAACTGAAATCGTGCTGATAAAAATATTCTTTATTACAAACAAATTAAATCTTGCTCAGTATTGGCAATAGCATTTGCCAACAGTTTTTTTTAAGTGCCGGTAATAGATAATAATGTCAATCCTTTGCTCTTGTTAACAAAGTGAACTAATTTAGAGAACCACTGTAATTTGTAGGTGATGTTTTTTCACTACGGATGCCAACGGGATATAGTTGTTAAAAAAATCTTTCTTAAAGTCGAACTAATGTCACTGCCTCACAGGGAGGCCTGAGAACAGCCATTATCGCAGACATTGTCCAGCTGTGTGTGATGATCGGGTGTGCGATGACCATCATACTGCAAGGCACCATCAAAGCAGGAGGTATCTCCAAGGTGATTGAGATCAACAGTGACAATGGCCGTTTTGACTTCTTTAAGTAAGTAGACTTGTATGGAAAATGTATAACAAAGTAAGATTCATTTCCCATTCATGTTGTTTTATTGTTGTCGAAAAACAGTAATATTATATGGTAGAATAAGATACTGTATCATATAACCTAAGCACGTGTACGGTCAAACTTCTACTTTCGTCCGAAGATTTTTAATTTTATTGTTTACTATATGGGGTATTTGGCCACGAGAAATCAATTGGACTAGGTCACAAGGCTGGGAAAATCCAGGTTCTGCCCTACATCCCTTTGAAGAGCCTATGAGCCCATATGTAATTGTCAATACCTTTTTGTAGCTGCAGTTTATAAAAATAGCTGATACAAGTATTTATATCTTTCTATTTTAAAGGTGTATTTAAATTTTTTTGTATCATCTAAAATTTGTTCATATTGATTACTGTAGGCCTACATAATAAATATCTTTAATTTAGCTAACTAATATATATATCTAATGTACAATTCAATCCGAGCAAAGCTCTCCTCGTACTTTGAATACAAAACTAGACCTCGAATGTACTAAACCTCAACTGCTGTAATAGTTTTGCATATTCTCATAGAGTTTTAATAATCTGGTGGTTTGTCCCAGGCCAATAATGTTAATGTGCAGGTTAAAGAAAGAAAAGGTCAATGCAAACGACTGCCAGAGCTAACACCATCATGGCTGTGCTTCTATAGTTCCCAAGCTCTATTATTGTGCTTTGATAATTTGTGTGAAAAAGTTAAATATGCAGAATAGAAGAAAACCAAGATAAAACTATTGTATAGGTAACAATATCTTGGTAATCTCAAACTCACAGATTCCATTTCAAGCCTCCTTATTTTATAACACCTTTTAAATTTACCCTCAATTATTCAATATACCAAATCAAAGAAATCAATATACAGAAATGTAAAGGTAGGTACAGAGGAAATATTTATAGTACACTAAAATTGTTTAGAACTAGTGCTTGTGTCTAGGGCTGAGTTAAACACTGCCCATTTCGCCTTTATGTACTACAACGCTCACAGTGGAGGAAGTCCCTGTACCCTGAGCGGTAGGAATTTCCACACACTGCTCGCCATTTGGGCTCTTCCTTACTCGTCACAAGTCTATTTCTGGCATAACATACCAGATATGAAAGCGCACGGTTGTCCCATATGCGTGTTACCTCCGTACCACTTCTCTGTGGTCTAAAAGCTTGACATTGTTAAAATAAAACGTAATTTTGTTAAAACATTGTACGTCATTTGCAAATGTTTATAATTTTATTTTGCTTTAACATCACAGTTGGAGCTTGGACCCCACAATCCGAGTCGACACGTCATCTGCCATCCTAGGTCAGCTGTTTATGTCCCTCTCTATCTTCGGGTGTCAGCAGAACTTTGTGCAAAGATATTGTAGTATGGAGACTCAGGGAAAAGTCACCAAGTAAGTTTGAATCAACAAGTGCAACAGAGGCTGATATTTTTGTGAATGAATTCCTATAACATTTTTAAGGCGCTGCAGGCCAAATCGTAGCAGCAAAATATTTTAAAGATTTATTTAAAGTAAGCTCTAGGTTCATTTTATACAATATTTGGGATTATTCAAATAAAATTCAAGCTATCTTTCATTTTACTTATGATTTTTTTTTTTCTTTGTTTTTGAGGTGAAAGTTTGTATTGGCCCTAGGTACATTTCACCATCTTGTGTGGCGTCTTCATAAAGTCTTCTATCTTTATATCACTTTACATCATTTTTCAAAACTTAAAATACAGTTATTAAAATAAGGTTTACCTAACAATTGTTTCAAGTTAAGTCTTTCTTCCTCCGTTTCATTTCTTGTACTGGGGCTGGGAGTTTTGGAATTCGGGTTATTGGATGGTTGAAAGTAGAGCCTTTCTAGATTTATGGCCGAGCAGATGCTTTGATCTCTGTGTAGTGTTGTCGGTTTGTTGAATTTTATGTTCTTCAGTTCTAGAACAAAGGCAATAAAAAAGGTAAATTATGATTCAAGTTCTTAAAACTGGGATAACACCTTTTATTGTTTTTGGAAGAAAAATTGCTAAAGAAAACTAACCATATATTTTGACTTTCCTGGCAATGAAGATTTTGTTGATTTGTCTACTTTACACATGACATGCATTAAACAATTTATTTAGTCCAAAATAACTTTAAACGATCAATTTCACCAAACAATCATCATTGGTATGGACTTTTGAATCTTTAGATATTTTATATAACTAGAGTTACATAGCTAAAGTTATTATTTTCTAACAAGTTGAAATTGTTTCACTAATCACTTCATTCTTGTTTCAGAACACTGCTAGGCAACATCCCCGTGATGACCTTCCTCTTCAGCATCAACTGGATTGTTGGGATGTGTGTGTTCGCCAACTACGCAGACTGCGATCCTCGTAAGCTCGGTTACATCTCAGACATTGACGAGATCCTTCCGTTCTACGTAGAAGACAAGTTCTACTTCCTTCCCGGCTTCCTCGGTTTGGTTATGGCTAGCTTGTTCAACGGAGCATTAAGGTATGAGATCAATTTTGTATATATTTGTTTTGTTTTATTTACTGGATAGTTCGATCACTAGAACATTACCTTGAAGGTTCCAACATAAATGTAACCGTGCCCAGAACTAGTTTAAGTATTGAGAAATACATTTATTCATTTCAGTTAGTATAAGTAGTAACTTAAATTTTAACCCAAATGGTCAAAAACCTAGTTTAATGATAATATAGATAAACTACCTGTTGTTGGATGTAACATTTTCTATTTATTTTCACAGCTTAATAATCTAAAATATTTTGAAAAATATTGAAAAAATCTACAAGTATGCATTTTATTTCAATAAATAGACATTTTAACATTACAGTACCGATATGGTTTTTTTTCTTTTTTTCAGTTTTATGGTTTCAAATCTTAATTCACTCTCCACCGTTTTGTGGGAAGACTTTTTTGCCCAGATTCCAATGTTCCAAGGATTCAAGGACAAGAAACAAGTGTACATCATCAAAATATTGGGTAAGCAAAACAACCATTTGTCTTTAAATATAACAATTTGTGTTGAATTTGACTCATACATAGTGTATGAGATTGATTCTTCCAAAGAAGGACTTTATTTGCCGTATGAACTCATCCCCGAATTTATAAACAAGGAAATTATAAAGAGGTAAACTATCTCTTAGGAAAAGTTCAGATTGAAGAAAAAAATCCCTAATCTTTACAGTTATCTGTTTGTACAATATAAGAATTAAATGTTCCATTACATTAAAAATCCTTCTAGAAAGAAATCCTCGTTTTCTTTGGTAGAAAGATTGTGCTTTGGCTTTATATTTTTTTTTATATATATTGACAATCTCTCACCGGCTAGCCACGCTCAAGACAACTCTAATGCAGTGTGGTACAGATTTAATCCTTGCTATTTATATTGTGTCGTAAAAGGGTGAAGGAAAAGACATTTTTCACGTCTCCTATTACAACTAAGAATAAGATATTGCCGCTGCAGTGAAGAAGTAGGGTGAAGAAGATGTGTGGTCAGGCTTTGGAGCCGGGTTTCCAACATGTGTAAATTGAGTGCACACATTAAACTCCTAAGATATGTAGGCAAATGTAAAAAAAATATTTAACAAGTTTCAAGCTAAATCCTCCTTGTAATTGAAACGCAAAAGTAGTTCACTGAAAACAGTGATTTTGTAGTTACATAAACCTGTATACTTTCCCAGTTAGTCAGTGTCAACTCATATCAGTGGTCTGAAAAACCAAATCAAACTTAATCTAAATAACGTAAAAAACCAGTGGTGGTCGTAAATCTTCCAGCATGGGAGTGCTCCCTATTGTCTATAATCTGACTTAAAGGATTAAAATATACAATTCTTGGAAAAACAAAAAACAGAGTGGAGGTGCTGTTCCCACGTATTCCAGCCCCACTACACAATTAAATAAAACTGAAGAATGTAAAGGAAAAAGTCCAAAAATTGGATTTTGATTATTATGCTTTTGTTTATCCCCAAACCTTCCTCGCGACAAAAATTGTAGTAGGCAAAACAGAAGCAGTGTTATAAAGTACCTAATCTTCCCCTTTTGTGTGCCAGGTGGTATTTGTGGGCTGCTGATTGTTGGAGTGGCGTACATCGTGGCTCACATGGCCGGAGTGATTGAGGCTGCTATGATGATGACATCAGCAACCTCTGGACCGCTACTTGGAGTCTTTATCATGGCGCTCTTCTTGCCAGCCAGCAACTGGAAGGTAAGTGACTGTTTTTCAACTTTAATGGGACTGTCCGTTAGGGGGAGAACTGATGACAAGGACTCAGTCTCTTCACTTCAACTCAAAATTTAACACTGGTAAAATGGCACCATTTGTTACAACTCACTAAATATTCATATTAATCATGGAGGGATAAGTGTTTGTCTTTTTAAAATAGGTTTTAGGTCATGTAAATGGTTAAAATCTCTTTGTAAGGTGACGTAACATACAAAAAAAAATATAGTTTTGTGCAATACAAACAATCTACTGCCCATAGTATTTAAACAAGTTAAATTTAAATAGCTTCATAGTAGTTGCCAAATTGGGTATCAGTTTTGCTACCCTCTTTCACCTTCAAACAATTGTAAATTTTAGTTGTGTCAATATTTTAGAAAACCTCCTCCTTGAACAATTCTACAGCATAATATTTTGTTCATTGTGTATCCCCTTATGAACCCTACTCATGTACTTGTTCAGGGAGCTGCAGTGGGGATGGTAGTGAGTCATGTCGTAGTGTTGTGGGTGGCCATCAATTCTCTCATGCTGCCCGACGACGTCAAGCCTCCTATACCCATGCTGCCTACCACAACCGAGGGATGTAACAATGCTACGTTCTCCTCACACATAGACCCTCCCATCTGGCTGGTACTGCGAAACCAGTCCTACTTCCCTACGGAGGAGAGCTATTGGGAGACCAGTGATGCGGAGGGAGGACCCGAGGTGCACCCTACCAATCAAGATGTGTAAGTATCTGAGAAATAGCTGGTGTACTTCTGTGATTGAGAATGGGTTGAACAGATAGGTCAGATAGTTCACATTATTACTTCATTATATTGAATTTTAGCCTCCTGATCACATTTAAATACTAAATAATTGGTGTAAATACCTGCATTTATGTGATCAATGTGTTGCTAAATTGCAACTGGTTTCGACTCACAAAGAAGTCATCGTTGGGCCAGTACAGCTGTCTTCTTGCTTCATTCGAAGGTCGTCAATTCATAATAAATAAATACATTTAACACGCACACGTACACGAACATAAAAACGTGTACATTTAGGGTTAAGAACTAAGGGTAATACTAGAATGGTAACGGGACACAACGTGATCAGGCGGGGGGTTATGTCTGTAGAATATGACAAAAGGGCACTACAGTCCCTTCCTACTCATAAAAAAAAAAATAAAAATAAATATTTTTTTGCTCTTGTTATGATAAAATATTTGGATATTTTATGTCATATGGAAATCTATTCGATTTTTGTAGGAAAAGTTAATCTAACTTATGAAAAAATTTAGTTCAGTCTTATGAAGACACAACAAAAGGTCGCGTAACACTCAAATTTTGTCTTCCTATTGGATTTCTTTAGTCGAAAAATGTGAGTTAAAATTCAAATCTGCTATTCATATACGGTATTTAAAATTTCACAGCTAATATAATGTATTAGAAACTAATCATTAACTCATTTTCAACACTGTGTTGTTGGGTAATGGAGTACTCTCGTTCTTTGACTACAATATACAATAATTTATTTGACCTCAGAAGGTAATTATAATAGAACAATGCCAAATAGTGCCAAGTGCTACATAATGTCCACAGGTTGCATGAAGGTTAGCCAAGCAGGTGAAACAATAATATTAATGAAGTTAGAATTAACTCTGTATTGTGGGAAGAGAAGTAATTCTGGCATTTTCTTTAGTCTCTCTAAATTTATTTACTTCATATAGTACACACATCCCCAAGAAATGAGTACTCTTCGCTCGATAAATAAAAGTTTAATACAACCCGATATCTTTTGTAACAATTCAGTTTGAAATTGGTTCATTGCTTGTCCCTTTGTGTCAAAGGAAAATTTGAGTTGGAAATGAGATGTTTCTTTGTTGTGTTGAACAAAAGGGGTGCAGGAACTACCACTAGTTAAAATTAAAATGTAAGCAATTCACATTTCATTATTAAAAATTGCAAGGACTTTTATAATTATTACTAATAAAGTCAGTTACTACTATAGATAAATATTTTGTTCCAGTGATGTGATGACATATCTGTACCAGATGACCTACATGTACTATGCTGTGTTTGGAACTGTCATCACAGTAGTGCTTGGTATGCTCATCAGCTATATAACAGGTACGAGTCATACATACAGTTATTATCATTTGACATAATAGAAGAAGTTTTAATTGTGATTTACCGATAGCATCTCTTAATTCGTAGCATTACCTTCACATTTGTCTAAAAACTTTTACAGAGAGAAAAAATTATTTGATGACTAACTTAAGCTTGTTACCTTACTAGCCAAAAATTATGGGTTGTAAGAGAATGTGTAGTGGGAGTGGGACGTAGTGGTTAGGCCCCATTTATGCACGAAGAGCGGGAGCGGTGGCGGTTTTCAACACCATTGAGTTAAATGAGACTGTTTATACACGAAGAGCGGGAACAGTAGCGGTTGTCCTCTCGCTGCGGTTGTTTGGGAGTGAGCGGTTTTCAACTACATTGAGTCAAATGAGACTATTTATGAACGGCAGGAGCGGGAGCGGCTGCAGACAGGATTGCCAACTTGGCCAACCTACCTACGCGCACGTGCATTGTCTTCTGGATTCGGTTAGAGGCTATTTGTTTACTTTGAGCTAGATAGTTAGAGTTGGCAAGAATGTGACCCCAATCTGTTCACCGTTGACCGATTGCTACCGCTATCACTTGAACAATATGGCAGAAATTTCACAGCAGGAGCGAGACCCCCTGCTCCCGCTCCTCGTGCATAAACTCAGCCTTAGGCATAAAACTTTACCCTAATGTTTGACAATCAGATTTTCATACTACTGTGAAATAACAGGGAAATAACAATTAAAGATACCCTTCAATCAACACAATTGTAACCTGGAGAAATATCTAGAATCAGAATAAAGTAGTTAAAACTGTCATATAGCATGAAATATCCCTTGCAACACAAGAACTGCTTATGAAGTCTTTTAAAAATAAAAATAAAAGCTTTCTTAAAGCACAAATTATTCCATGTGTAGATGAATTCCTAAATCGTGCAATCACACATCATGCTTAGATTTTTATATCTTCTAGAATTATATCTGATTTTAACCAAGATAAACGCCAACACAGTGCTAAAATTAATCTAATTGACTCTTATTAATAAGTAGGTAGTAACAGAAAAATATGCACAACAAAAGTATTACCTTTCTTTCTATACATATTTTTGAAGCTGACTTTACTTTGTCACAGCGTCCGATGATGACCAATACGACGAGACTTTGATTCACCCTATGGCACTCAAGATCAGTAACATGTTCCCTGGCAAGAGACGATGTTTCATCACGTCAGTACACGCAAACTCAGTGAACACCAGCAATGTAACTACCATCAGTGACAAGGTGCCGGAGAAATACTCAGGGGCGAACAGCGAAAACCTATGAGACTCCCTCGGAGATCCTCTCAAACTCAGCTGTGATATACGTTCTTAATACACGTCCATTAACGTTAGTTTAGCATTTAGCATTTCCAGGTCTGAACAGTGACTTAAGGTAGTGAATCTTTACTGGTGTACATAGTGTAAGGTGAGAAAATTGTGAACTGATACATTTTTATAAATGATGCTCGATTATTTCTCTAGTGTATATATTCTTCTTACTAAACATTAGACAGACATTGTATGCAAAGTTGAAATCCAGCACCTACTTCTTAGGGCATATTGTGATATTCCAGAGTCTAAAAATGTACAATTGCTTATTCAGACAAGTTTACTGTTCTAATTTTGGATACAGTTCCGCAGAGAACCTATTATATATTATCAGAAGATATATTACAGTAGACTCCCTCTTATCCGGACTCCTCGGGACAGAGGCCAGGCCGGATAACGGTTTTTCCGGTTAAACTGACATCCCCAGAATCTCGTTAAAACGGACCGTTTAAATGCATACTCTATACAGTATTTGACTTAAAATTAGGAGAGCATTGTATTTAGACACATAATCACTGGTGTCAAATCTTTCCCACGAGAACAGTGATTTCAGTACCGCCCATTTCCTGCCGATCTAGTCCGGTTAAACCAATGTGCTGATAAAAATTATCCGGATAAAGAGATGTCACTTCTACCGAGTGTAGTCCAGATTAACCGATGGTCGGTTAAAAAGTGTCCGGATAAGAGGGAGTCTACTGTAGTTTGATATAAAAATTCTGATCAAAATACTTCAATTGGTAAAAATCTGTAAATATTAATTTTCTTTTATGGGGCTTTGGAAGTAGAGTACAACCAGCCACCTTTTTACAGTGTGCCGTGCCGTTTAGGTTAGGTTATGTTGGTTCGGTAGGCTATATGACATTTATGAAAAAAGAAAGAGGAATGCAAACAAACAAATCTCTTCAACAAGTTACACAAAATATCAGCTTTTATTTACCTTGTTTATTATCATCATCATAAACTAAACTAAGCCAAACTGAACAAAACTAACCCAACCGCCGCAGCACAGTGTGAAAAAAGTCTTATGGAAAAACATTCAATCAATATCTATATAGTGAGAAGACTACATCTGAAACGATATAAATATCAAACTTATCTTTCATCCAAAAATATATCATAGGTTCTATGCGGAACTGAACTGATGAATACAAATCCTTTAAGAAGTGAAAGCTTATGGAGAAAAGTCAGACTGGAATTTTGGCGCCGAAATGAGCTTTGCGTGGCCAGGAAACTATCCAAAATTCAAATATATCCCGACTGAATTTTGAACAAAGACATTGCGCTTGTTAAAGGGTTTGTATTCTTTGACGGTACCCCAAATTTTAAGACTTACTTTGATCCTACAACTAGAATTGTTGCTTTTGAAGATAGATGAAAGATTCTTCCTTTTTTATATGTTATATTTAAGGAGACACGGGCCTATACTGGTCAAAAGGTTTACCTTATGTTTGAATTGAAATAAAATTTTAAAAATTAAGATTAGGACCCGTTTTTACTGTTTTACTTATATGAAACAGCAGAATTTGAAGGTTTTTTTTTAAATAATGAGTAATGAATTACTGAATCTCATAATTGAATACACGAATGTCTCATTGAATAAATAAATGTAAATAAATTAATAAATAATTTAAATACCATCAAATTTTAATTAAATATACATTTATGATTCTGTAATATAAAATACACAATAAGATGTCTAGGGGCTGAGATACTGTACATATGTTTTTGTAAATTTTATGTCTAAGTGATGCATGATATTGATTTTTTGTTGTTTGTCATGACATACAAAGTTTGTTGATATTTGTAATGCATGCTTATCTACAAATCATATTATGTTAAAGTGGTGCTTTAGAAGTTTAAGAGTTCAAATGACTATCTGAAAAAGGACTGCATACTTTTAAGAAGTTAGTTTTTATTTAGTTTTGGATGGAAATGAAGAAGTGGTGCTTATCTGACTAAAATAAGTTTTGAGAAACTCAGTTAATATGTGTTAATATTGCGCCATTTTCAGTATACTCTTACAAAAGGTAATGTGTGTTGTAATGTAAATAATTGTGGTCGTCTAGTAATTTTTGAATTTATTTAGTGTGACTTTGTGGGTATTTGATCTGTGCAACGGGATTAAAAAAACTTTACATGTATACTTTTCCTATCAATGGGTTCCAGGTCTTAATTGGAGTTAATAAACTTTGAGAGAGCAATTAGGAATTTAAATGTAAATATTACCTTGCTAGTGTCTAAACATAGTAATAACTCATTTATGTAAATAAACATAGGCCTACCAAAATATTGTATAGTAATAAAAAAGTTTGTTGTTTAGTGTGGATGAAATCCTGGTTTACAGTATTATTAAGTCAATAAAAAGTAATCATATAAAATATTATAAAAATTAAAAAAAAAAATTGTCTTGTTTGAATCATAAAATTTGGGCGACTCAAAAATATAAAATACAAGGCGAATATACCGGACATTCAATGCATTTTGTTCCTCATAGAAGACACAGAGCAAAGGAGTTACTTGCCATTTAGTTTTAAGTAAATGTATTTTTTTTAGTTTTAGGTTTGTTAATTTCTGATAGCATTAGGTATTGTCATTATTTTTAGAATATGTAAAGACATTTTGAATAAAAAATAATATTTATTTAGTAAAGTGCGGTGAATAATTTATTTTTAATTCCTGTTCATTTTATGAAACATGTGTAGGCCTAATGAAGAGAGCATGATTTTGCATGAGTGATTTGGAAGGTTGAGTTTATTGTCCAGCGACCCACTTGTGGAATGGTTAGCCAATACATACTGTTTCCTGATTGTTTCTGCCTGCTGTTTTAATTACTTTGATACAATCACATTACCAGATGGGTCAGCTCAGCAGACAAAGAAGTGATTACTTTTAAATTGATTATTTAAAAAAACAGTCATGATACGATTACATCAACAAAGATTTATTTGATTTACATACCTGCCAGTTAAGAGAGCTAGATTTTGTCTCAGTAACGATAGGACATAAATTGTTTTCTATTCCATCTTTAATTAAATTTCAAACCTTCAATGTTATACATAGACAACTTCAGTTAGTAGATTTGTTTGTAAAAAAAAGTTGGTGGGATGGTGTTGTAAACAAAAACCTGCTGCAATAATTGTCAAATGATCATCAATGGTAATTCTATTGGGTCTATTGTAAGATTTTATATCAATTTCACGTTTCCTGGATGGATTTCACAATCCGAAATGTAATTGATATAGACTATTACATTATCTACCACACGCTATCTTACTTGTAGTAGCTATAGCCAACTAACTCTCTAATATTAGTTATCTATAGCTATTACCAGGAAGCTCCTTGAATGCATTCAGTATTGACTTTAGGTACTATATGGTAGGACCTACATGGTGCCAGTTGATTCTTATTTTTCAGAGAAATTCTATACAAGACCCATTAACATAGTATAGTTTAGGTGTAATAATGCAATTTAACTAACATTTTAGTCTTGTGGTTATAAAAAAAACTATATTCAGTATAATCATACAATTCATAGCTATCACAAGCAATAATACAGTATAATATAATGCACTTCAAACTGACCTTAAAACTATACCAATAAATTCTCTGCTAGAGCCAATTGAAGTAAAAAGTTTTCAACAGCAGGTGAAAACTTTTTCACTCTTAAACTTTCCATTGAAACTGCCTTGTTCTCTCCATTTGTACTTTCTGTGGCGAGTGATCTGAAACAAAAAAGATAAATTAACACTCTAGAGAATATAAATATATTTGACGAGTTTTATGGGTTGTATGGAATTTGTTTAAGCAAATAAAGTTTTGCTAGCTTAACAGAGAAAGTTAAAGGCCAGGGCCTAAATATACAAATATACACAATAAAAGAACACAAATCATAACTGATATTTTGTCATGATGTCATGATGTACATGATGTGTGTGTGTCATGTCTTCTTCAGTGAGTAGGTGATTAATTAATTAGCTCCCTCGCAGCAAACGAAATGAGCATAGGGGGATCTAGGCCCCGAAATGTGGGGGGCTAAGTCGGACTGCCGGGGGGTCTGAGGGGTATGGAATACCCCTTAGTGTGGAGGGGGGCCGGGGGTTCTCCCTCGAAAATTTTTGAAAAAATATAAGCTCCAAAGACGTATTTTAGGCTATTTGGAAATCAACATAGAAGGAATTACGGGTTCAGTGAAAACGGTGAACATACTTGAAGGTCCTTGTATGCGGCTAATTAATAACGAATTCTATGCAAGAACTTCACCCTTAAACATTATGGAAAATAGCTGACATAAGGTAAAAGAAAGGAACAGACTGATCAAAACCCTAAATTTGTGTGTGTACTGTGTACCTAGGATCCTAAATGAATTGCTGATTTGTATCATATAACTCAGGTCTTCTCACAGACAAAATCAACAACTTTACTTTGTCTATTGAGAGCTCCAACACCTTTTTTTTTTGTAATGGTAACACGTTTTTTTCACCACATAAAAATGTTAATTTAGGGTGTCTAGTTTATTGCCATTTAAAAATTCAAGACTAATTCAAGACTTTTTAAAACTAATGCCAATTTTTTCAAGACTGGATTTTTCAACAATTAGTGATGTATTGATACCAAAATGTAGCGATTCTCAATTCTTGATACAAATGCAAATTTTTATAATTTAACCAATTTTTTTAATTCTACACCAAACCCTGTCTTTATGTCATAAAGTATTAATATGTAATGGGGTGTTTTTCAAGTAAAGAAAAAAATGTAGCAATAAAAAATTCTAACGAGGCAATTTGGATTTGTTGGATGATGAAAATATTCCATGACCATGATTTTAAGACATCATCATTAACTGCCTCGGACGTCATCGTCGCCGTTCGCGATCGCAGCAAAATTATGATCATTTCCCGCGGCCTTGTAGACATCATCATTGACTCCACAGCGTTGTCATCATCATTGAAACATCATCGGCGTCGCCTGCAATGATCGCGGCAAAATCATGAAAATTCCCGACTTTCATACCAGAATAAAGACTAAATCCCGACTTTTCAAGACCGATTTGGAATTCAATACTAATTCCCGACTTTTCAAGACCGATTTGGAATTCAATACTAATTCCCGACTTTTCCGTTTTCCCGACTACTAAGACACCCTATAAAAATAATAAATTTTGTTAAAAAATTCAAACTTTTAGATTGATATTAATTTTTTTTAATTAATTTTTTTAACTTAACCAAAAAGAATGTGAATACTCATAAAATTTAGCCCTCCTCCCCAGGCCCAAATTTCCAGTTTCCTGTTCCAGTTTTGGTTCACTGGAAATGAGGAAAACTTTACCAGTTCAAGAAGATTTTTTAACTGACTAGGAATTTTATATTTTAGAAGAATTAATTTATGAAAGGATAACTTAAAATTAAAAATGGCTTATTTTTTTTAATACGTATTTTTATTTGATTTTATTTGATTAGGTTGAAGAAAAATTAAATTTCTGAATTTCCCTTCAACAAGAAGAAGTCCTACATCAGGATGAAATATTAGTTTTACGTTTTGTTTTCTTTTATTGTGTTCTATTAGCCCCTAGACAGTTCTCTCTTAGTTACCAACTAAATAAATTTTTATTTATAATGTACATTCATATATCTTTGAAAGCTTAGGGTTAGTTTTTACAGACAAGAATCGTCAAAAAGTCTAAAATTGTTATGAACTCCATTTTTGAATGTAGTGTATTGTTACCTAAGCAGTAAGCAATACAGACGGCATTGTATTGTATTGTACCTGAGATGAGAGAGAAGGTCTTGTGTTTTATCAGCAACCTCCCTGACTATCTGAGCCTCGGTGATTCCTTCTCTGTCAGCCAGCTGGACTAGGAACAGAGCGATCTCCTTGTGAGCCTTGGTCATGGTCATGGACTCTACGAATACAATGGAAGTGTTCATACAAGTTGTCACACTTCATATAAGCTAACCATAATGTTGTTGAATAGTTAATAATTACACAGGAAATGGATCATTTTAAAATTTTATTTATTTACGTCAAAAATTGTTTGAAATCCATGTTTTAGCCCCTGAGCTGAGGTATAGTTAAAAATAGGTATTTACCTTTCTGTCTATAGCTTCATCTGTTGTAATCTTCGATTATAATGCTGAAATGGCCATAAAGAAGGTTACAACAGGTCGAGCTGTAGACAAAAAGGTAAACCTATTTTTACTAATCACTCTACAAGAATTTTAATTTTTAAGACTTTTAATATTATGGTAAATAATCCATACATACTATCAGGTAACCTTGTATTTAAAAAATATTTAAGGAGTTTTATTAGAAGACTTGTTAGTGTATGAAAGTAGGGATGGTCAAGTCTCGAAATTTCGGGAAATTTTCGGGAAATTTTAAATCTCGTTACACGAGACGAGATTTCTTTATGGCCGAGATTTTTATCGAGACGAGAATAAAAAAAAAAAAATTAAAAACGCCTGCAGAAAGTCAATGCAATACCCGCAATACAGGAGTGTGTTGTAGTTGCGTTTCCTTTGAGAAGGCGTTCTTATTTAATTAATTCTTCAAATGTAAATATTACTTTAATTATTTTAATAACATTTGAGAAGTTTTGCTAAGTGTTAGCAGTGTGAGGAATGTTTTATTACTATAAAAAAGTCAAAACAAGTAACTATTTTATAAAAATTAATATTTTATTTTATGATTTATTTTATTTTAGGATAAGTTGAACTCTATCCTAACTGATATCACTATGTTTCCTAATCGTAGGCATTTTTAATAAGTTAGGCGTGATTAATAAAAAAATGTTATGCTGATGTTTTTTAATAAAAGATTGTAAATATTCTTGCCTATTATCATTATTTTTGTATTTAAACAGTCATCTAACAATGTTACAAAATCATGTAAAAATTCCGAACATGCATTTCCCGTTGTGTATGAGAAGGGAAATCCCGTCTCGATCTCGTCTCGAAATTTTATGAGAAATAAAAAATCTCGTCTCGTCTCGAACTAAAAATCCAATCTCGTCCATCCCTATATGAAAGATATAAGAGATGTCTATCACAGACAAGCAATTATTTTATTGCAATTTTACATTGAAAACCACTATTTTTTTATTTTTTTATTATTATTTGGAAACACGGAACAAGGAGTTGATTTTCTGAAACAATTAGAGATTAGGGGTTTCTGGATAACTGTTGAATTTGGATAAATTGTAATTTACAATAAAAACTAGATACGATATTTTGACTTTAATAGATAAAATTAAAATTTATTGTTACATGTATGCTATAAGTTACTAATTTTGTCTACTGCAACTGTCGCAAAATATGTGAGCAGATATTGTGGTCTCGTCAACAGAAACCCTTCAGCATATCTTGTGGTTGCGGTCTCATCAAAACTATAGTGATCGTCTCATGCAATTGCAGTAACACTTATGAGCATATGTTTATGGTCTTGTCAAATCCAGTGATTTTCTCCTGCAATCACGCTAACACCCGTGAGCATATCTTGCAGTCTTGTCAACACCGGTGATCGACTCCAGCAATCCCGGTAACACTTGTGATCATATCTGTGATCTTGTATACACCATTGAACCACATTCTGATGACTGACTTTTGATAATCTACGCTCCACTATGACAACCATTGAAAAAATATCTTGTGTTGGAAATGTTCTTATTTAGGAGTTTACTAATTAACACTCAATTTGCATTTTAAAGTTCCTCAATTGTATGAAAGAAATGGAATAGCTGAAAGTATCAACAACCTTTGACTATTAATGCCAACAACGTACAGACTAACCTTTGGCATGTGGAGCTATGGTGATCTCGCGAGCTGGTAAGTTGACCAACACATCAAACAGATCCACCCTGGATAGTATCCTGCTATCTCCACACCCGACAATGCTGCTTTGGCTGTTCTGTGCAGGGAAATGTGTTTATTACAAGTACGCCTATGTTATAAAATCGTGTTTCTTCTTTCATTCTAAATAATCAACATTAAAAAAAATAACCACTGATCATATGAATGCAATTAAATGTGTAAAAGGAAGACAATAGGCTCTTATAAGTCCAGATCTAAAAACTATTTTGACTATGGAAAATCAGGACAGAGTAAGGATTTCTTTCACAGTTGTTTATGTCCAATTGACAGAGTCTGTTCAGTGTGATGATGGATGAATTTGACTTTTGAAATGTTTTGTAGGCCTACTTTGCTTTAAGAATTGCTTTTAAGAAACTATTATCATTGACTAGTGATGTGTCAAAACAAAACCAAATCTCAAATCTGAAAACCCAGGAAAAGTTTCCGTTTTGAGATTCGATTACCGACTTTTAACATTCAAAAGTTTCAGAATTGAAGATTTTTGAAGTTTTATTTTTGAAACTTCCATTATTATTTTTTTAAACACTGTTTCCACACAAGCTGGTAGCAATTCTGAAGTTCAAACAGCATCTTAAATACTAAATACTGGATCGACATACAATTCAGTTTCAAATTGATATTTAGGCTACTAAACACAAATAAATATTGACCACTAAAAGTTCTAATTACTGTAATTTACTGTAATACTCATCTTTGTGTTGGTGTCAGGAGTTTAATTTATGTTGTTTTTATGTTGGTTGTTAATAAAAAAAACTGTGTTGTTTTGGGTTTTAAGATTATCAGTCACATATTTATGTTATTATGTCAGGGTCAGGAGTCGATCTCTTTCAGTTTTGACTGCATAAAAAATTTTATTATTATCTGTATTTTGTTGTTGTAATCTTGTCCTTTGTAACCAGGTAAGTGAAAAAATTTTGCGTTTGGGTTTTGAGATTCAATTTTTTTAAGTTTCGGTTTCGGTTTTGAATTTCAAAATTTTTGGTTTTGTTTTGACCATCACTACCATTGACTATTAGATACTGAAATAGGCATTCCATCTATATGGAAAATTAGTCACCTATTTTTGGTCAGAAAAGATGATGTGGCCAGTTGAATAATGCACTAGGATTCTAAAATTCTATTGCCTACCTAATTTTTTGTTGCTGGCATACTTGACGTGTCATAACAGTTGCTTTAGCTCCAAATAAGTCGTTTCATAAGATTGATTTCTTAAAAAACTTCAGAAATTCAACAGAAATCAGTAATTTGGATCAGCACAATCTGTTGGTGGCTTACATCAACTACGACAATTTTGATTTAAAAACTTGCAACAACATTAACATTAGGATGGGATGTCTAGTAGTGTCAATGGTCAAAGCTATTATCATGCATGCAACTATTTAATCTATACAATTCTGCTTGTTGACTATTGAAGTAATTTGTAATTTAAAACTGACTGTAATTTGGTCCAACTCGTCGTTGCATAAGTCCACCCAAGGGTAAAGGTTCTCCGCCTCGGGTCTATGAGCCATCAGAGCAGGGAAAGTACGAACCCACTGAAACGAGCACAAAACCCTAACTTTCACACAAACAAAACATATTTAATATAAACCAATGATAATCCAGCCATAACTGTCATAGCTGTAGCAGTTAATCACACCGAATATTTGTATGTGTTTAGGAGTATTTGTGTGAGAAATTAATTTATTCATGACAATCACAAGTGTTTGGAAGAATTAAGAAGACCAACGATTTGACAATGAGGTAACAGGCCTTGACACTAAAGTCATTTAGAAAAAAATACAGGGTTGACTGCGGTAAAAGATGCTTAACCTATTTATTTCATCTACTGTACAACTAATGTGGGAGGGTAGCTCATATCTTAACTTTTTATTATGTTTACTACCTCGCTAATACAAGTATTTTAGTAGTAACATGAGGTTTAGATTGTGTAATAGGAGCATCGATTATGTGAAACTCGTATAGTGGTATATGTTACCTTGTTACTGTCCAGAACGATCCTTTGTAGTTTGTTATGACTACAGATGTTTTGTGCTTTGGATTGAGCACATCATCAGGTCTGAGAAATATAGTCATTAAATATTCCTTGTGGTTGAGTTTGTCAAAAGTTTGATAGTATATAAATAACATGACATATAACACAAAAACACGAAACGGAACATTTAGCACTGGTCGACCAGACGGTTACGAAACACGTGGTATGGCACCAGTTGAGGGCAAGTCACATTTGGACAATCTCCACCATGAGGAATATTTAATGACTGCTTAGTTGACATTTTTCAGACCTGATGATGTGCTCCATCCGAAGCACAAAACAGCTGTAGTCATAACGAAGTACAAAGGACCGTTTTTGACAGTAACAAGGTAACATAAACCACTATACATTACTTCAGACGATCCAGAGGCCATTCCATCATGATATGTGACACAATTGGGGACGGGGTATTCGGATAACTGAATTTTTGGATAGTTAGGCTATTGATGGGAAAACTGATATAGGGCTACATTATTTTAACATTTAGCCTAACGATTACATTTTAATTAATTTTTACAGGTATATTTTCCTGGTTTATCCCATTGACACACAAAACATTTTGCCATACCTAGGCCTACAGTTTTCTTTCTAATGTCAGATTTATCACATTTGGAAATCCATCTCGAGCTTAACTCAATCTATTTGCACCTTTTTTTTTATCAGGTCCAGTATATCTATGGGTGTTTTGGCAGCTTTATGAGGTTAACATTTAGACAATAAATTTAGTTAGAACTAGAACTAATCAACACAGAATAACATATTAACAGACACTGACAAGTAGGGCCTACCCAGAGGCAACTATTAGGAAATTGCTTGCAAGTCATAGCAAACAAAAATGTATTCAAAATCCTGATTAGACACCTTCCAAGCAATGTTCGCTTGATAAATTTTATGACTGGTGGTTAGTATGATTTAGATTTTTTACTACTTCCTTCCTTCCCATTAACTAACCTTACAGATGACTGGGCTTTGGATAATCGACATTTAACTGTATATTAGTCAATAATAAATTATAAGTCATGGTAATATTACACGTCACGTAATTGATACAAGGGAAAATATTTTTTGCTTTATGACTGATTTTTTGTAGCTTCATAAATAAATACAGAAACTTACTAATCTATACGGTCCCAGTATATAAGTGTGAGTTCACTAAACCATACTTAAGGTTCTCAGACAAAATCTATTTTATATGGTTTTGAAGTTAGTTAAATATTATTGTGAATTTCAGGTCCTATGAGATGTTAGAGATTAGTAAAGCTAATGGTACTTTAGTTTAATTTTACTATAATAAAAATTTAATTTGGAACATTCTAACTATTGGCAAAACGCAAAACATAAGTATATTTTTAACAACAATAATATTAAGGATGAATTAATTACTATTATTTCAAATAGTACATTTTATCACTAGGAGCGAAAGTGGCCCTTTTACGATTAAGTTCTTACCATCAAAAAGACACTTTCGCTCAGTGTGAAAAAACAGAAATGTTCATCATATTGTGGAAATAACCAAAATTAGACCAAATAATTTGAGGTTATACAAAGTCGTCATCAATGTTTACATTCTGATGTTTACAAACATAGCTTAAAATATCTTGTAATTATCAGCGCTTTCAAACAAATTGTAAGGTTGGCGAACTGAAAAATTCACCATATGTTTTTTTTCTGTTCCCTGTTTAAAGTTACCAGAAAACGATTAATTTGCAGACAATTTTCAGAACTAAAAACGGATGTGTTCCGGACATTATGATGAAAATTAAATGTTTTATTCAAACCAATTACCTTGAGTAACTGGGGCAAGCTATGATGATAGATGACCAAACGTTTCTTCAATAACAATGCTGTGTAAATAATAATTGTCTGCAGTTCAAACAGCTTTATTAGTTCTGAAACAAAATTTAAATAAAACCAAACAGATTTTACAATTATTAGATCCATGTTCAGTAAATTACAATTTCTTCAATGAGTATTTAGGTTTTCTGCTTGCAAGGAGCACTAAGAATTAGTTTTACCATCTCTGATGCAATCGATGGTATGGAAAATTGTATAAGGGTATAACCATTTGGCTTATTGAATCCACTGCTTATACAACTCCAAAAGTAAACTACTTCTTCCCCTCTTAAACACCAATGATGAAAGTTTATTCCTTGGATTTATTAACTATGACTTTTAAGAAAGAACCTCAAAATGTTTTTCCGATCATACCTTTCAACATAGTAACATTGTTCTGTAGGGCGTTCCTTTCAAAATCTTTAGTGAAATACGTTCCATTCTCTTCAGTAGTACATGCTCCTCTTGTCATGACTGACAAAATCAGCTTCAAAAGCATGACAGGGTTTCCTGTTAGAGAAAAACTAATGTTAAAGTGGTTATTAATTAATAATTATTTTTCATAACGTCTTTATTATATTTCAGTTGTCACTAAAATCGCATTTACACGCTCATCCAGGCCAGTGTAGGCAAGTTACCCACAAAAAACACAAACTGAGACCAGTATCCTGCCTGCCTATACTAGCCCGTTCTTGTTCATCGGGCTTTGGGATTTTAATAAATGGTTCTGGCTATAGAAACAGCTGGTCTTAGCAGTATCAAAGCTAAAACTAAACTAGATATCTCACTCCATTACAACACAGAGAAAAAGGTACAAAAGAAACATTCAATCGTACACTTAAGTGGTGTCTAGGGCTGGTGCTGGTGGCTAGAGCAAAGTCCACCCTATGCCCCCCTCACCCTTATGTAGCCTACTACAACGCTCACGGTGGAGGAAGAAACTGTGCCCTGTGCCATAGGAATTTCCGCACAGTGCTTGTGGATTTTTGTAGATTTATAGATCAAGTGTAAAGCCTTTGAACACTTTGACATAGGAATTTTATGATGTCTTTACCAATGTTTGTTAAGTTATTTGTTACCTATGGCACACTTGTCAAACTGTCTTGAATGTTTAATGAAGAGAGAGGAACGATTGGTAATTTCTGTTCCTCATTGATTATTCTGAACAAAATATTTTACACTGACCTGTTTTACAGTAGCTTTTGCTTAAAATACGGCAGAGAGTTTCATATTTTTCAGGATTGAAATCACGAGACCAAAGAACAAGAGCAAACTGCTTTACCTGCAACAAAACAGTGTGTTAAGTTACCAGATTTAGGTTATTTTCAACTAAAATTTGACAAAAATACATAGGCCTAAGTGTTTTAGCGAATTTTCCATATGGGGAATAAGTATTACCGTAGTACTCATGGTAAGACCTGGACCCGGGACCGATTTAATTTTTCATTTTGAGGTCCCTAGAGGCCAAAAACACCATCCCTTCAATGTGTCCGGTAGCGCGATAACTCGAGCAAAAATGATCCGATTTTGATGAAATTTGGTACAAACGTGTAAACCTACGTTTATTCGAACGAGTTTGCGATCCAGCATAATCGGACCATGGGAATGGGGGTTTATGGATGGTTTTTATGGGGTAAAAATGGGGTTTTCCCATTGTTGACCCTAAAAACAAAAAATTTTGCAATTTCTTTTTAAACTATTTTGTAGAGCTTTAAAAAAAAAATAAATAATTTAGTATATTGAAGCGCTGTTGTATGCCTAACGGTCACGGAGAAAATTCAAAAATAGTGTAATTAAAAATTCCTATGTTATTCTTATGGAGAAAATTAAAATTGTTGTAGTTTACTTGTTTATGGATTATATTGATAAAATTTGGCAAATTTGTTTATTTCATTCTATACTATTGATGTATGGTCAAAAAAATACTTTACCTTCCCTCTAGCAGCAAACCAAAGCGCAATCGTTAAATCTAATGTTAGGCCTATTTAAATAGGGAAAGGGAATACTTAAATATGTCTTATTTATGGAAATATTTTAATAAAAATGTAATCAGCAGAGACAAGTTGAAATCCGCTTAGTCTGCAGGTTTGCTGCGGTGGGGGTATTATTATTATTATTTTTTTAATAGACCTAACTCAAAATAAAGTATGGAAGGTGTCTTACACCATAAAACCAGTACCGGATACCTATGCTTGTTACGTATTTGATGAAGGGATCGGACAGCACTCTATCATAGGTAACAGTAGTCTCACAGTCACAGATTAGTGAATGCTTAATAATTGCTCACTAGAACTGACCAAGATGGCATTTTAAACCCTCAATGCATAGTGCTACTTCTTGATCCAGGGGGATGTCTTGGACCCTTAGACAATTAGACAAATTCACTTTTCAAATATCCCTAGAGTGAAATACGGTATTCTTTTTTTTTTTAAATTTTCATGCGTCAGATCAACAACATTTGGCCATTGATGAGATTTAGTAACATAGTCTAATACACTAATAACTGGGCTGCAGTTCTGCAGAGAACCTGCGATATATTATCAGATTAAATATCATCTTGAAAAATATTACCTTAAATATAGGCCTACCTTTTGATTACTTAGTAACATCACATAGGCAAACACATTTACTTACCCCAGGTAAATTGTCTGATTCAAAGACTTCAGTACAGTTTATATAAAACCAGTGACTCCTGTATCTTCCATAAAGAAATGGATGACCAAGATCAAAACTACATTTTCTAAGAATTAACGATTTTTGTTCATTTGTTACTGAAGGATATGTCCAAGCCCATAACACATCATTGTTACAGTCCTTTTCTAAAAATAAAGAAAATAGTGGTTCAGTAAATCAATAACATAACCTAAATTAATTTTTTTTTTAAGAGAATCTAGGCGTTTATATATAAATACAGTAGAGTCCCGCAAAGTCGGCGTAATGTGGACTGGAAGGGTGCCGAGTTTGTGAAATGCCGGGTTATCGGGAACTAGGGTTAAAAATAAAAACAATAAAATGTTTAAGCCTTTTACCTGCCTTGTTTATTTATATTTATAATACAAGTCAGTATTAAGTCATCAGATATAGTACAACAAATCCTTTTTACGAGTTACGAATGATATGACTTGAGCTGGCTTGAGTCCATGTTGAACTCGGACTCAAAAAATCACTAATTTTCTGAGCTAGGTAATGGCCGAGTTATCCAGACTGCCGGGTTATCGAGTGCCAAGTTTGCGGGACTCTACTGTAACATGTAACGTACCGTACCTACTCCATAAAAAAGTATTATAAGGATAGAAGGCGCAATTTACCATAATCAGTTAAAGGCCTAAGTATGGATTATTTTTAATAAACATTGTTAACTTAATTTTTTTTCTCTAAATGATAATATTCTAACTAAGTTAGAACATCATACATTAGTGGCTAGATCCCATTTCATGTTGTATCTTTAAAAAATTTTCCCAAACAATGACAGGTCAAATATTATACTATTTTGGACAGTACTATTGGTTGGAAAATGTTAATGATTTTAATTTCCTTTACTCACATAAAGGCCCTCAGACTAAGTAAGAGCAGTGAATGTGTAAGTGTATTTTACCTGTTAACCCTTCACGGACGGGTGACGGATATATCCGCCTAAGTCTTTGGCGATAATGTACGGGTGGCGGATATATCCGGTTTTTGATCTTCCAGACGGGAAGCAGATATGGGCCACCTTCTCTTCAGACAGACTGGCAGGTGCTTGAGCAGTAACCAGATGTTTCGCGGTACCAAGGCGCCACTTTCCTGCTCTCTCCATGGCTGCCCTCTCTCCCGCGCCTCCCCCTCTCCCGCGCACCACCCACCTCTCCTACGCTCCCCTCTCGACATTTGGCGCTCAACACTACGATGTAGTAACACTTCGGCCCAGTAACATTTCGGCCAAACTCAAATTTCTTAGAAAAACAGTATCACTTCGTCCCACTCGCTTTTACAGATGATTAAATAAGCTAATGAAGTAACATTTCGGCCCGACGAAAAATTGACAAGGGTTGAGGAACGCAGTTCAAGTAGTAAGAGGTACATGACCTGTATACTTTGCAACCACTCTCTGGTGGAATGTCGCCCAACCGTCACCCTTTACATCCTCTGACCTCACATGACGGAGAATCGGTGGAATCTTACCTAACCTAACCTAACCTGACCTAATATTTTGTTGGGACTAAGTGTTACTAGTGGGCAGGTAGAGAGTTGGACCGTAGGCCACATCTGAGGGTTTCTGGCCGAAATGTTACTGGGCCGAAGTGTTACTTGGGCCGAAGTGTTACGACACGCAACACTACGTTGTCGTTCTTTATTTATTGCCTAACGTTGTCATGGTCATATCTTCAAAGACAGGTGGCGGATATATCCGCTGCTTTTCTACTCATCTGCAGACGGGTAGCGGATATATACGCATTGTTAAAAACGAGTAGGCTAAAAAATTATTTTGACAGTATGAAGTGTTCAATTGTGTTTATTTTAACTTATGTATATTTGTATAACAAAACACAAATAAGGTAAGTTAATTTTTATTTTTTCCTATACTTTTTTCCTGCTCTATGTCACTATTTTGCCCGTCCGGGAAGGGTTAAGTTAAGTATTAAAATAACTTAAGTTAGTCCTAAGTGGTTAACAATAATTAACTTAAGTAAATACCCCTAACGGATATTAATATTCAGCACATGATCAGCAGAGGAGGTTAAGACATCGTGCACAGTGTATCCACACGTAATGTGTAACTAATCCAAGATGAAAATCCCACTTTTGGGTCGAGCACATCCCATTTGTATACCGCTGTAGTATGATAAAAATCCCATTTGATCCAGCATGAATTAAGAAGGTAATCTTGATCCATCCCGAGTGATCTTTTTGACGTAAAATGTCAACATAGCACGTTAAACATTGCTGTCGTACTAGACCTAAGGCCCTATTCAATTAAGTTAATTGGGGATTGATCAGATTGTATAAAATTATCTTATTACCGGGTAACAGCACTATGGCATGAAGCATCTTGGCAACGGCAAGTGGAAACTCCAGTCTAATGTAGGCCTATTATTTGAAACAGATTGAAAACTACCAGTAGCCAACAATCAAAATAAGACCGACTATGACGGCAAGGTATAAATAATCAGCAGACAGGTAGTATATCATGTAGTAGGCCTACATTATTGTCTTGTTTAAGTTAGTGTTAAATTTAAGTTTTATTTATGTGATACAACCCACCCAATTGTTTAAAAAATCAAGTTTTGTTTAACAGGTGATCAACAAGTGTCTGTAAACCAGTCTAGGATTGAAATAACAGATAGATTAAGGTAAGTTACTCTAACATTTGATCAAATAAGTTGAGTTATTTACAATGCAAATCCTTACCAACAATGTTGCATGATAACATTTCCATTTCAACAACGGTATTCTGTAGGAAAATTGTTAAATTGGAGTTGCACCCACCCAACCCAATGTCTGAGTGATGAGATACCTAACCTCACTTTAGTTATTCCTAATTGTGTCTATGATTTCTTACTACATTAACCCAATTATTTTGATGTAGCCTATATTACATATCCACAAAAACTTTTGGTCTAAAAACTATAGAAGTGTAATTTAATTTGAAGCAAAGGAATAGGAATTTAACTAAGTTGTTATAGTAAGTCAACAACTAGCACCATAATCAACAAATCAATTGGCATTGGCATTTTAGCAATCACTTCACTTTGGCAATGACACTGAAAGCACTGACTAGTGACTGACAGCTGACGCTGACAGCGAGTAGCGCAGCGACAGCACGAGCAGACACCATTGGTCAGACTCAGACATTAGAAAGCCAGCCCCCCAGCCAGCTGGAGCTGGAGCAAACAAATTTGACAGTTCCTGGCAAACAAACAGTGATGCCACTCAACTAATAACCTGACATTGATTATAGAAAACTCTCATCCCACAGCTGACTTTGGATATTGCATTTTAAATTGGTCGTCTCATACAATTGTACCTCGGAAAATTCAAAAATGCTGACTTATGACAAATCTTAAGGTGTGTTTTCCTCCAACTTCAGTAACCGCGCTGCGTGCTACGCGATTAATCTAAATAACGCAGCGTGGCCAGGAACAGCGTGATTAAAATTTTACGCTGCGCAAAAGTGTTTTCTTAGAAATCCAGCAATGCGTTGCGTAAAAAGCAGATTCGCGGTTTCCACAGTAGCGTTCTGCTATGGATTGGAGAAAGAAGAGTCTCATACATAAATAAATGAGAAATAAATGTGGTGACTCATACATGTATGTGAAGTTGGCCTATCCAAAAAACCTACCCACAATTATTAGTTCCATTTGTTAGCTCCGTGTTAGTTCTCCATAGTTCCATTTAAAATAGGCATTTGTTAGTTAGTTCGTTCGTTAGACGGAACTATTGGGAACTAAACTTGTAACTAACGATTCACACCGTTTTAAACCCAATTTAGGGCATGGGTAGGCTAGCGTAAAGTTAGCCCGCCCCAAGGCCACACACATAGTTTTTTCACACCCAAGGATTGTGCCGGTTACATAGTGTAACATGTTAACTGAACAAAATTAAATTAAAATAAAATAATATTAAATTACGTTAAATTGAAAATTTTGGATATGATCTTTAGTTTAAATATTTAATGTATTAAATAAAAGAAACGTCTTAGGTACAACACTTTAAAAATATATTTACACTTATACTGTTTTCAAGACTGTAAATATACATGAACTTGGTAAAAGTTTATCGATTTCGAATGCTCACACCAAATGATCACCAAATGGTCACACAGTCAATTAAAAAACTGTCATCATCAACAGTGAACTTGGTAATATCACTAAACTTATCGTTTTCTCCATATGTCCAATGTAAACAATGGCCCAGTTCGGCAGCGAGCTTCGCAACTGACTGCTCTCGAGGCAGTGGTCCCAATCACGCTGCGCGCTGCGCACTGCGCAGTTGGCGACTAGTCGCGCACCGCGCCACTAGGAAAACAGTCTCATTAGTTTAAAAGGGATCGGTGGTTCCGGCAACCGCGGAGCACGAAGGACGCAGCGTAACAGGCTTAATCGCGTCGCTAGGAAAACGCCGCTTTACGCTATCTAAGGATGAATAAGCAATAAAGCGGTTACAACGAAAATTGTATGACAAAATGTAAAATTATAATTTTTAAATATATTTTGATTTGTGGAGTCACTTGAGTGCGTTTGTGTCTCTTGTTTGTTATAATTTTTATTTACGGTACTGACTGATCTGCATAAGGTAAAACAAAACATATACTCCCTTTTGTAGCTTTATTAACTTCAATGTCACCAAATAGCATATTAACAGGTAGTTAACATTACTCTCTGTATCTGTTATCTGTTGTCTGTATCTCTCTCAGATGACCTATTACACCACTCTTACTGTTACTGTTATCAATAATTTAATTAATTGTTTGAGTCAGGAACTCTCATTTTGGGTGTGTACCGTCGTACCGAATTCAAAATTATAGTTATGGAGTGGCAAGAACATTCCAGATGCATGGTCTGGTCACGTGCGTCCTTAATATTTGGGGCGCGACGCAAAAGCCAATGATGTGACGCAGCCGGGGACATACTAAACTATTTGGAGAATCTTCGCGGGTCGGAAGGTACTTATAGAAGATTCTACAGCCCCTGCTATATTAGGACCCTCTTGAGACGCTCGGAGTCAGATTCGGATGCCAGTTTGAGTCATTAGCAGAGCTTAGAGGCAATGTCTCAGTGTGAGAGTCAGAGTTAGTCAGTGCATTATAAGTGTAAGAGTCCGGGCCCCCTATTTTCCTGATTTAGTGTCCAGCCAACCTCCGTGCCGTTTTGTTACACATTCAAAACAAATATCATAGTTTAATAAATTCTCGTGCTCACAGTTGCAATTTTATTCTTTGTTAAAAATTCTAAGTGAACTGGAAAACCATGCTTATTTTCGAGTTTGACAGATTACATGAACAGAAAAGATTTTAAATTTGAACGGGCCGGGCCTCCTTCAGGGAGACGTCCGCTCAATTACCCACCCGAACCGGTTTTGTCCGCTGGGGCCACTGTCCGTCTCACCCACGTCGGGGGGAAACACGGCACCCTTCAGAACTACGGCCACCTTTCATTCCCAGGCCGCGGTTTTGTAGAATTGGCAACGTTGCAAGCAAGTAGTGTTGTCAAGTGCCAGACTTCCCAAAAGATAAAATGGCAGACTGGTGACACTAGCTCATTATTTCGCGTATTATCCATTTAAATTTAAATTTATGAAAAGATTAAAAATAAAACATACAGAAATGAAAACCAAAACAAGATTTAAATTGAAAACTATTTTTGTAGATTTAAAGTGGAGTAAATATTTTCATAGCCTAGTAATCAAACATAGCTGTTACAACCCTACTTGCGATGTTGCCACTTCGAAGGCCGCGGCCTGGAGTTAAAGGTGGCCGTGTTCAGAACCTTGGGCTCTGCCCCCCTCCCCACCCACTAGCCGGCCCTGAGTCAGTGTTCTGTTCTTCGTGACGTTCCAATCCAGAGAGCTGAAACCCTGCTGGACTGGGGCTGTTTTAGGACTTCGTCCTCTGTCACAGTCTAGACCTACTAAGTATAAGCGTGTCAGTAACAGTTAAGTGGTAGTATTATAGTAACAGAAATACCGTTGTCATAATCATGTATTAATTATTAGCTGTAAGTAGAAATATTGTAAATTGGGATAATAATTGGATTTTGGTAGGTTATTTAGCAAGATAATTTTATTTTTTGTAGTTTAAGAATAGGTATTGGTTTAAATAAATAGTTATTGTTAGATTATATCTAATTTTGTCTAGAGCTCATAAGCCCGCAACAGTGATGAATTTGACTTGTTAATGTTGTATATCATGTGGAATAAACATATTATTTCATTCATCCATTATTCATTTAAAGCTAAATCGAAATGCAGGGTTGAGCTAGGATGGCTTGATAAGAGGGAGGGAAAAAACAGGAGGTCCAGGGGTGCCCATCCCCCTAAGGCTTATGACGAAGATCCCCCCCCAAACACTGGTCAACACATAATTCCCCAAAAAGAATTCATAGTTTTTAAACACTTTATAACAAAGTCCAAACAAACTTAACTTATAACGTTATAGCACAGACAATATAATACTTTAATTTTATTCCATTGTCTGTGGTTATAGCATGTTATAGCATGCAACGCGAATTTGTCAGTTATTTATGCTGTATTCCACGTTACTGTTTTCATTTTAAGATGTTAGCAGCACTGATATTGGCAGTCCTGTAAACAGTGTTGCCACTTTTAGGGTAATTACCCTTTTTTAGGGTAATTTACTGGTCTTAGGGTAAAGTTTAGGGTAATGGTAGATTTAGGGCAATTTTAGGGTAAAACTAAAAGTTAGTATAATAATGGAAATTTTACTAAACAAATGAAAAAAACTTCAAAATTTGGCAAAAAACGTTCATTACATACTATGGCTATCATATTCGATTCAAATTGGTTGAAATCGTTTGCTATGATGATTTTTTCATAATAAGTTATCCTAATCGATCTTATCAATAGTTGGAAATTATCTGTTTTAGAATGTATTCGATTCTATAACACGTTATAGGCCTAATAAAATATGAAATATTATTCATTACTGGGTTTGATATTTAATTATGTGGCTGAATTGAATTAAACTGGATTATTTTACAAAATGTGTCAAGAAATTACTACTATGTATAGATTAAAGCTTTGGTGGTACCGTACTGTATTTTAAAGATATGATTGTCCAAAAACAGTAGTAATGGGTCGATACAGTAAAAAAATTCGATAGTTCTTGATTCGATATTTTTCGTTATACGATAGTCGATATAGAGCTGATCAATTCAATATCAACATTTTGTGTTCTTCTTTCGGGTGGTTTTTTAGAATCGAGTATAATTTTACGTAAATTGATTGATATTGGAACTTCATTTAGTATAATTAACCATCTTATGTAGGATTTATATGATTTTAACAATGTTTTATAGCATTAAACGCAAATATTAACATTTAGGGTAATTTTTAGGGTAACTCAAAGTAGATTTAGGGTAATTTAGGGTAATTTTAGCCCGCCTTTAGGGTAAAATCGCAACAACGTGGTGGCAACACTGCCTGTAAATATGCAGAATTTCGTCTGCCACCCGGTTCAATGACAGTGCGGAGTCCTGCTCACTTCCAGTTTTGTTTTGTTTTGTTTTGAGAAATTACTTATTTATGTAGCTTGAAATGAAAAACTGTTAGTGTATATTAAAAGTGCAAACAACATTTTCATTAGTTAATAATTGAATTCAATTCACACCAAGGCTATAATCCCCTTTAAGTATGGAGGGAAAGGTTAATACTTCTGGAGACAAAGAATTGGACGAAGTAAGTAGACAGTAATACTATTTCTCTAAAACAATTTGTTAAATTTGTACAACTAGACAGAGATGTTTTATGAAAACCAATCACACCATCACTCACATAATTTAATCAACTCTCACGGAATCTTCAAATTATGCTTTTAGCAAATTTCCCATAGGAAAGTATCCAACTTATAGGCCTATGCTTACTATCTCAAGTCACCAATGGGGTAGACCGGTACACTTCCATATCTGTTGGCACAAACAACCGAATGAGTAATATTGATTATTCGATTGGGCTGCACTTTACTTTAGGTCCTACACTCGTTCGAATGAAAATATCGGTCGATATATCGATTAATCGATTGTATCTTTTGATATATCGTTTGGTTAGTTATGTAAGGTTACCTATCCTAACTAACCAAACGATATATCGAATGATAAAATCGATTAATCAATATTTTCATTCAAATGAGTGTAGGACCTAAAGTAAAGTGCAGCCTTCGATTGTTTAATTCGATATATCTTTTGGTTAACCTTACCTAACTAACCAAACGATATATTGAATAATCTATATATCAATCGATATTTTCATTCGGTTGTTTGTGCCAACAGATATGGAAGTGTACCCGGGTAGACTTCCATAAGTTATCTGTTGGCACAAACAACCGAATGAAATTATCGATTATTGGATTGTTTCATTTGATATATCGTTTGGTAAGTTAGGTTAACTAACTAAAACTATAACTAACTTAAGTTACCTTTGAACTAACCAAACGATATATCGAATCATCAATATACCAATCGATATTTTCATGCGGCTGTTTGTGCCAACAGATACGGAAGTCCACCCCACGAATGGATTTTATCTAACCTAAGTGATAATGCCGCAACCCATAGGTCTAGCCTGAAGTGATGTGAAAAACAATCCCAGGCTCGTGCCTAGCGTCTTAAGACAAAAAAAAATTAAATTATCAATTCATCATAATTTAGTTGTCTTTCTTTTTTTTATAATCTTTATAATCTTTTTTTTCCAAGTCAACAATTGTATTTTTTAATTTTTGTTGTTTTTTGCCTCTGATCACAATATAAATTATTATTAATGAAGCAAACCCCCACAATAGGAACATTACATTTTACCGAAGATAGGTATGTAGATGATTATCATTAAAGGTACACACAGGCAGGCAAGTGTAATGCTTAACTATTTTAACAACATTCATCCTTCTTTTAAATTCAAAATGGAAGTAGAACAGAACATCTCCATTCACTTTCTAGACGTAAACATTTTAAAATCAGATGGCACGTTAGAGTTTGGTATTTACAGGAAGGAAACCCAAACAGATTTAGTTATTCCAATGGACTCGAATCATCCTATGTCCTACAAAATGGCTGCCCTCAGATCTATGGCATACAGGCTTTGAACTTATAATTTGTCGCCCGCAGAGTTTCAAAAAGAAAAATTAATTATGAAACAAATTGCCAACAATGGCTATAATACAGATTTAATTGATAACATGATAAGGAAAGCCAAGTTTAAAATATCAAGGCCACAAACAGATGAGAGGACTGGTCAACCACACAACTTCATCCCTTTCATATATGTAAACAAAAACTCGCTTCACGTAGGTAATATTTTTAAGAAGTTTTCTTACATGCCGGGATATAAAATAAATATAATAGGGCCTTACTTTGGCCAATGTTACGTTATCTGCCTCAACAGTATTTTGTCTGTTAAAAATTTACTCATAACCTGTGATGTGATTCCGGTCGTTGACCTCCTTTCGTGCTCGGACCCTGTATCGTGTTGTTTTACGTCACTCAAACCTCCGTGACCAATCAAAAAATCCTTATTACACAGTTAGCATCTTGCGTAAAACTCAAAATCTCCTTTTGTTAACAACTGGTACAATGTTTTCCAGCCATTGCGGAACTTACACAATCGTTTAGTTTTCTTTGGGGGAGACTTGTAAGTTGAAGTGCCAGGTTCACCTAAGCCATCTAAATCGTACTTGTCCATGTTAGTTTGTTCAAGTTAAAATTGATGTACAATTTGTAATATTTAGTTCCATGAATAAACACTAGTCTAAAAAGTATCAAAACAAAAACTGATAACTGCGACTCATATAGTCACACGGACTATACCAGTCACACGGTTACACTGCTCAATACTTAACAAACTACGAACGAACGAATTATGTATAGGTAGACACGTAGGGATTAACGTCCGCACGATTGAGTACTACGACTATCCGCAGTACTATCCTGAAAATTATACCAATTCGTATAGGCCTATACCAAGGCAAAAATGTGGTTCGGATTCCACTATAAGCTGCCCTTAGTTGCCATTAGCTGTATTGGATATTAATTAACAGCAGTGTCTAAGGAATAAGTCAGCCTTAGACACTAACAAGACTACAAGATCGGGCCACTCATCCCCATTCATACTTGGCTTAAAACCTACTTTGTATGGTCGCCATTTCATTAAAAAGTATTAAAGTATTAAGTTTACACCACCTATAAGCAGAATGCACCTCTAGCAGACTACAATCCATCACGTCATGTGTGATCTGATCTGAGTGACTGAACGATTGGCGAGTTATAGGATGGGCAGGAGACGACTACAGCGACAATGACAGAAAAGTAGTGGGGGCAGAATAGAGTGGCCGGCCGACAGTAAGAACATGAAACACGTCTGTGCAGCACCAGTCTGCCATCTGCCGTTTGTCCCACTTTTGCTAGCTCTGTTTTAAAGAATAGTAACAATTTAATTTAAGATTTGGTTTTAAAATACGGGACAGTTAGTGTCGCGTTTGTAACTGGGACGGGACGTGGGACGCTTCTTAAAAATTCGGGACTGTCATTAATAGCTATTAACTACGGTATTTACTATTAGTTATAGTTAATAGTTATCATACATATTACCGGTAACTTATAGTTAAGTTCAGTCTATTTAACTATAAGTAAATGTTTTATAGTTACCTAATTGTAATTAACACAATCCGTCCAACTGTTGTTGGCCAATGGCAAAGCTATCAATTATTACAAAGAAATAAGTATATCCCAAGTTACCTTGAGTAATCCAGCTTATGAATTAAACTCATAGGTAGCTCTATAACAAAAACCACTATACCCATAACCCAAAATAAAATAAAACCTAAAGGTTGAGTAACCTGTTAGAATAATAAGTTAATTAAGAGAGCTTTAAATATAAACTCTATTTCGGACAGACAAATCCAATTATAAAACATTCATTTTGCACCAAAGTTAATTAAATAATAGTTGCGTTTATATATAAATTCAAATTTATTTTAAAAATTGAAATCTTTCTACACATTGTAGTCTGCTGTAGAACAAAGAATAATATTACATTAAATTTTGCAAGTTTGTTTAAACCTAATTATGATAATTGTTATATAGGTGGTTTCTTATAATATTAATAGAAAATGTTATGGCTGTTAAAGATATTAAATATAGCACTTGATTTTCCAAATTGAATTTCTTCCAAAATTTCTCAACTTGTTGAGGAATTGTTCCTCTTGATCCAATGAGTAGTCCATATACTTCAAATTTTGATATTTTGTATTTCTCCGAATAATAGGGGATAGTTTTCTTATAAATATTTACTTTTTCTTCATGGACTTCCTGTGGCTGATATTGATTTGTCTCAAGACGAACTGTTGGGTCTATAATAATACCGAAATCTTTCTCCTTGTCTATAACAATGATGTCACTCCGCCTCACAGAGCCCTCTTCTTCTATAGCCGTGACCTCTTCATAGACCTCATAACTTTTCTTTCTGAATTGATCAGCTATGATTTTTCTGATAGTATGGTGGCGGGTATTTCGTAGAAGACTACTAAATGGGCACTTTCCAAGGACGTGGGCAAGAGTTTCAAGAATAAATTTCTCAGATACAGGACAATGCCTGCACTGGTTCCCGTCCCTGGATCTCCCATGAAGACTTCTAAGAGGAATAACGTCTCCGACCATTTTTAAGTATTGTTTGAACTCAGCTTCTGTGAGGCCACAACCTCTAGCCAAATTTTTATTGATCTTGTTACATTCTTTGAAAAGAACCACCCCATTCCCTTTGTATGGAAGTTTACACCAATTTTGATACTCTAAGTCTCGTAAGGTTTCTCGCAGTATCTTGGGTTTTGATTCGATAAATTCAATACTTAAATTCAATTTTTCCAGACAAAACCTAATTTCTTCATCAAATTGACGAATATTAAGTAAGTAGGGGTTTCCCGTTTGTTTTAATACGCGACATATGTTTATATGTTGGATTGAAGATTCCCACATTGATTTACATAACCCAATCCCTTTGTTTTTAGTACTTGTATAAAACATAGAATTTGGCATATCATTTGGAAGATCTAAGATTTCCTTTGTTGTTGATCTTATCACTTTATCAACATCGTCAAAGAATTTCATTGTAATTTTCTTAATTGGTGGTTATAGGTGTAGGCTACGTAATTGAATGACTATTCTGATGTATGATGTTTTTTCTAGAAACTTCTCCAACCGTTCAGCTACATTCTACAAGTGCCAGGAAAGCAGATTAGGGCCAAATTAGCACATGCTTTCAACAACTGGCTGAAAATACCCTCAGATAAACTACATATTGTGGGTGAGATTGTACAGATGCTTCACAACTCAAGTCTCTTGTAAGTAACTCTCTGCTTTTATTTTACTATCAGGTTCCTTATTAAAGACTAATTTACTATTCCAAATTTCATACTTAGGTAATAACATACAGCCTCTAACCAACACAAGTAGACTTCTCATCCAATTGAAAATTGTTCGTTTTTCGTCTCTGGTTCGTTTTGGGTGACATTTATCGCTAGTGTCGACAAAATTTAGTTTCTTTTATTTTAGTGTTAATTTAATGATTTGTGCTTTACTGTTTGGTTTTATAACTAGGAGACGAGTTATTGCTTATGATTAGATTGTTTTATTTGGTTAAACAAGTTTTTAAATGACTAAAATAACAAGACACATGACAAATTGTAAACCAAACCCGACCTCTACAGTGTACCAGACAGAACTAACAATAAAATTGGCTTTGAACAGTTGTTCCATAAGGATGAGAAATCTACTAAGGGAGTATGTTTTATCTATGCTGGTAGCTTATAAGTTGTACAGGGTACAATTAAACACACTTGTTGGCTCAGTCTTGCTGAGTCATGTAGTAATCTAATGTCATTGTCATTAAGTTGTACTTCCAAACTAAATCATTAATGCCTAAAATACTCTGCTTTCTCTGATTCATATATTATTCCCAATATGAGTCACACTTCCAGTAGTTTAACTACAATCAAAGCGACGCTTGTAAATTAGGCCTATTGGTAACTGATGTTTAAAACACCACATCCAAAAATATTAGTCCAAAAATCTTATATTAGGCTATTTTATGTTTTAGAATTGACGATATCCAGGATAATTCAATCCTAAGGAGGGGAATCCCTGTTGCTCACTCAATTTACGGTGTGGCAAGTACAATTAATGCAGCTAATTATGTGATATTCCTGGCTGTCGAGAAAGTGCTGCGACTGGAGCACCCAGAGGTACTGGTTTGAAATTTATACAAATTAGAATCACTCAACGCTCGATATATTTTTCAGTTGGCACTCTTAACTGAAATTTCTGAACTCAAATGGAGCACAAACACAAAACAGACAGCATAGTAAAATATAAGGTACAATTAATGTTGATGACCTGCACTCAATGTTAATACAATGTCTTCAATTACACCAGAGTGCTACACTACTCCTCTAGTTGTTTTCTTGTTAAAGAAATGATAATTTATGTCACAACAAAATTAATAGTAGAGAAAAAGGTACAAGGGACCAAGCCACAAAAAAAACTGTCAATAATCACATTGAAATTGTTTTTTTGTATTTTTTCTTAGTAACCTATGCCAAAATATTAATTGATGCTCCATAGAAGAGTGTTATTTTAATGTTGCCTCATTCCAACATAATTCATTAATTTTTTGTGGAGGGGAGTAATTGAGCTCCAGTTGGTCTTTAGTCACAAAACCTAATGAATGCTTAAACAATTGGTACTCAAAAGCTAAAAAAAACAATGCCTTAACTTTTTAGGCATATCAATAAATCTTTAGAATCTGTAATCATAAATAAATCAATCAAATAAATCAGTTTTACCTGATAAGTACAACAACTTACGAATTAGACATATCAGATGCGGCACTTTCAGTTCCTGTTTAATACAATAAGTTCCTTACAATTCCTTACAAAAGAAGCATAATATGAAGGGCTAACGGAAAGAAGTGGCTAAGTCCATTTTTTCAATTTTGATTTTATTTACGTTTATGTTGGTAATCCTGTAGGAGAATGTGTAGCATGTATTAGTTTGGGAAATAACAAGCTCATTCCTGAGAAAAAAATTTAGAAAAAAAACACCAAATGGGAAAGAAAAAGCTCAGCTCAGACCTTAAAACCGCTCTACTGTAAAATTTTCCAAATGTTTTTTACTAGGGACATTTTTAAGTAAGGGCCTTTTGTGCATAGCTCTAGCTCTATAGTTCGCGTGTTTGCTGCAACGAGGCGGCTCACTGTTTACTGGCATTATTTGTGAATGGGGCATAACCCTTACAGTATAGGTAGGCCTACATTTCGTATGACATATTTAAAACCTGCAAGGAAGTAGTTAATATTTCATTGCAATCTATTTAGTTATCAATTTAGTTCCGGTATGCATTAATGCTGCTGAACCTGATACCCCCTTCACTTCAGTAGTGATGTAAATGGTTCATTTGTTGTTTTACAGCGTCTGGTAATTATTGTTGATTTTGTCTTTAGGCAACTAAGGTTTGCATTGAACAACTGCTTGAACTCCACAGAGGACAAGGAATTGAGATTTATTGGAGAGACAACTTCCATTGTCCATCCGAAGAGGAATACAAACAGATGACAGTTAGAAGTGAGTAATCATGATTATTTAACCCTTTATCGGTGTCTCTGATTTTAAAACACAATCGGAGACACTTGGAGTTCTTTTTCGGGTGTTGAATCATAAGACAGACATTTTTTTTATATGGGAGAATAATACAAAAACGTATTAAAACCATGTATTTTCTATAAAATTGTACATGAAATAAACAAAAACAACAACTCCATAGGTGACTCATGGAGCCGGGCTCCGTGCTAAGTGAATCTTGGAGCTTCAACTGATTGATAAGGGTTTTGCGGGGGAGGTGTGAGATCAAAATCATTTTCAATCAGTTCCTAGAAAGATGCACGTTACTGCCAGCTACCGGCTGGCGATATCACATATTGCTCTATAAAAATAAACGCGCCCAGATGAAAACTCCGTGGTGTCACCGATAGAGAATTAAGTATTCAGTTAACCTTAATTTCAAATTTATATGATGATTTTAATTACTGAAATGAGACACAAAGGTTGAGATGCCCAGGCTTATTGGGATAATGGACATACCGTTCTGGAAACGAGTCCATACTGGCATAGAAACTCAAAAACTTTACCCTATGAAAAAGTATATCACTTAGTAAATTTATTTGTAGAAGCTTATTGAAACACCTTTGCAGTGGCCATTATCTTCATCTTTCAAGTTCACAGCTAGTAGTGCAACAGCTTTTTACTGTACATAACGGAACTTCCTATGTTTATGATTGAAAATTCTTTGCCGTTTTATGCTGTTGTAAGTAATCTTCTGAAGGATCAGAAATTTCTCTTATTTTTGTTGATAACTGTCAAGTTCTTATCAGTATTTCCTTAACTTTACAATCTTCATGACTAGTACAACCTTTCTTCATTTGCCTTTGTGTGCATCATGGATTTATTTTTTCAGAAACTGGTGGATTGTTTATGCTTGCAATTAGACTAATGCAGCTTTTTAGCGAGAACAAGTCTGACTTTACTAAACTAGCAAGCATATTGGGCCTCTACTTCCAGATCAGGGATGACTATTGCAATCTCTGTTTACAAGAAGTAAGTTACGATAGTTATTTCATTGTTTATCTTTTTCAATCTCTCTTTGTAAGAAAATGTACCTCTTAAGTGTAAGTGGTACTTGCATTTATGATGGTAAGTCAGGACAAAATACAATGGTTTTAACAAGAATGCCGAAAATCATCAAATCATCTTTATTCCATGGACACAAATTTTATAGTGAAAAATACAATAGTCTATAGGCTGTGTCAACAATATAATACAACTTAAGACTAATCTAATGATGAGGCAAAATAATCTTTAACCCCAACTGGTTACTTGTATGCCTTACATGAACATATAGTTTCAAAAACAATATCATTGTTTCCTATAAAATTTTAAACATATTTTGCCTGAATAAAAGATTGGCTGGACTTGATTTTTCTGACTTGTTGCTCTATCACTTGAGCTTTTAGGCTTGGCTTGGCTCTGAAATCAAGTCGCTTGCACAACTCTAATCTTGAAATAAATGTTTACAAACACAGTAAGTCCTCACTAACTCAACAATCTGTGGAAGAGGTTGTCGAGTTATCCAGAACATTGACATTTTCAATGGGTTTTATTTAATAAATGAATACATACATAGCAGACTAATTTTTATGTATAAATCTATTACTTACTTGACTACCAATTATTGAGTTTTTAACAATCTTCAAAAATCTTATAACAATCTTCAGCTGTCCTTGAAAAGTCGAACGCCCTAGTAAGACAAAGCCAGCTAGACGAGCTGTTGACTGTCGAGTTACACAGACTGTCGAGTTACCCGGGTGTCGAGTTAGTGAGATTTTACTACACTAATATTATGAACTGTATTTCACTGCAAAGCAGCACTAATATTATGAACTGTATTTCACTGCAAAGCAGCATTAATATTATGAACTGTATTTCACTGCAAAGCAGCACTAATATTATGAACTGTATTTCACTGCAAAGCAGCACTAATATTATGAACTGTATTTCACTGCAAAGCAGCACTAATATTATGAACTGTATTTCACTGCAAAGCAGCACTAATATTATGAACTGTATTTCACTGCAAAGCAGCACTAATATTATGAACTGTATTTCACTGCAAAGCAGCACTAATATTATGAACTGTATTTCACTGCAAAGCAGCATTAATATTATGAACTGTATTTCACTGCAAAGCAGCATTAATATTATGAACTGTATTTCACTGCAAAGCAGCATTAATATTATGAATTGTATTTCACTGCAAAGCATTGCAACTGTAATAAAATACTCTTTTGCAGTGAACAAAACTAGTTGAATCATAGAAATTTAACTGTATGAGGGATGTCTGTAAATAAAAGGTTCCCCAACAAGATCTTATCCTGACAAAGCAAGATTGTTTATATCTAACACTAGCGCTGTGATCATGACTCATCTGACCACTTTTTAAGGGGGACCTAATGCTATAATTAGTATTACCATATTTGTTTATTAGTATAAGGGAAAATCATCCTCCCACCAGTAAATATTGCTATCTGTGATTACATTTGTGTGGTTGAAGGGGTTTGGAATCTTTTGTCAGTTAACAAAAGTGTATGGAGAAAAGTGTATAGATGTGTATAAGTGCTGTATGGATGGACGAGTTAAAAGGATATCGGGTTTTACTATTTTCCATGGTAGTCTTAGGGACGTCTTCTACCAGTTCCGCACTCTATCAAACAAATCTATATCTGATATACAATCTATGTTCCTTATCTTTTGTCTCTGTTCTGACAAACAACACTGGTTGGCCTCGTCATGCACTGATAGACAGGCTTTACTTAACTCCCTGCACCACTTATGCACATTCTCTATCCACATAATCCTTTCTCCAGCTGTACACATCCGTCAACTGGCAATCAATTTTCAATGGGGTCACTTTTTGTGCATGGCCTCCACAATCACCTAAATATGACATCATGATATTTCTATGTTTAGGGGTTAATCAAGAACCGAGCACATGCTTCTGCTACTTGCTACCTCAAATATGAAATTGTGTGGATGTGGATTGTATTAAAGCAATGAGTATTACTGAGATTTTTAATGATTGTTTGATCCTCAGCTCATCAATCCTCATTTCTATCTAATCTGAGGTGTCCATTCATGCATGTTAATTTTTTTATGATTTCAGTACTCTGAAAATAAGAGCTTTTGTGAAGATCTCACTGAAGGAAAGTTTAGCTTCCCTATAATCCATGCCATCAAGAGCAGGCCTGATGACCGACAGGTGATTCGTATCCTTTGTAAGCTGTCCTGGAAGCATTTCTGTCTTGTGGTTGAGTGTTTTCTTATAGAACCCTCTAACTAACAGTTTCAGCTATGTATTTTGTGCAGCATTAACTTACTTGACATTATTAACGCAGCACTACTATTAGCAAATAGTAATGTTTTCATGATAGTAAATTCATTTTTTGCAAAAATAGTTTTTTCTTGATCATTGCAAGCCTAAGACATCTTAAATTTTACCAATGTTCTACAATATTACATTTAATACACTCCTTTTTAATTATCTTTGTTCTAAAATAATCTTTGATGATCATTTAACAGTTTTATCAACACTCTTACAGGTTGGTACGTTAATAAATACTTTGACACAATAGAGCTTGAAAAAAGATTGAGAAAAAGTAGTGAAGCCTGGACTAATCCTTATGTATTTTCATTTGCTAAAAAAAAACATAAATTTGCAACTTGAAGTGGGCTCATAGGAGGGTTTCAAATTCAAATCTTTCTATTTTCAAGCAGTGAGAAAATTGTTTAAATGAAGTGTGTAGAACTGCATTATTAAAGTACAGTAGAGTCCCGCAAACTCGGCGTAATGTGGACTGGAAGGGTGCCGAGTTTGTGAAATGCCGGGTTATTGGGAACTAGGGTTGAAAATAAGAACAATACAATTTTAAGCTTTTTAACCGCCATTTTTATTTATATTTATATTACAAGTCAGTAATTAAGTCATCAGATATAGTACAACAAATCCTTGGTACGAGTTGTGAATGATTTGACTTGAACTGGCTTGAGTCCATGTTTAACTTAGACACAAAAATCACGAATTATCTGAGCCAGGTGATGGCTGAGTTATCCAGACTGCTGGGTTATCGAGTGCCGAGTTTGCGGGACTCTACTGTATTAAATATGTAAAAAAACTTCTGTACCTAATCGGTATCTCAAACTAACAACCCCCATTTTCCTCTTGAGCTAGAAAACATAACATGTTAAAACGTTTCCTATCCAGTATCCACCAGTATTTCATTGCATCTGACAGCCATTTCTGATGAAGAATGGTTTGCAGAAAAGTAAGGTACAGAGGAAAAATTCAATGTTACACTTAAGTGGTGTCTAGCACTAGTGTCTAGGGCAAAGTCCAACACTGCCTCATATACTACATTGTTCACAGTAGAGGAAGACCCTGAGCTCTTTTTGATAGGTATTTTCGCACTGTGCTCACCGCTCAGGCTCTTTCTTGCTCATAACAAGTATATTACCGGCACAACATAACAGAGCTGAAAGCGCATAGTTGTCCCATAAGTAAGTTTCCTCTGTACCTTACTTTTCTGTAAATGGTCTAACAAATTTTTATTTCAGTTGTGAAAGTATTATCTCCAAGTGAAATTATTTGACATTCACTTTGTGTACATTTGGTGTTTTTGTACATAGAAAAACTGTTACTTTTGGATCCAAGAAATTATATTTAATCTGTAGTATACAAATTTTTTTTTTCAAAATATGATTGTAAATTTTGATAGATGAAATGAAATGAAATATTACTTTATTATTACAACTCAGATCCAGCGTTAGCTGGTGAAACAGGTGATATTGTCAGATGACTGATAATCTCCTAAGTCTTCTAAAAATATCAAAATTAAAACACATAATTATTATTAAAATAAAAGGTTCCTTAGGAAACAAAATAAAATCGTTTAGGCTGCATGACATAGGGCAAACATCAATAGTGATAATCCTTAACATTCTGTAGATATTCTAAGGCAACGGACACGAGACGTAGAAGTGAAACGTTACTGTATCACGCTGCTGGACAAATTCGGCTCATTCGCCCACACAAGAGAAACCTTGCTCCAATTGGACAGAGAGGCTCGTGATGAAGTCTCCAGGATGGGTGGAAACCCTCTTATGGAGGAGATCTTGGACGAACTGTTGAATTGGGACCGACCTAAATAAGGTATAAAAATCCAGGTTTTTATCCCCAGAGCTGTAACGTAATAAAAAAGTAGGCTTCATCTTCATCAATTAGGCCTAGCTCAAAAATACTATTGTTACGCCCAATTCGGACGTGAAGATCATGGCTTTAGCAGCATCGTCAAAGCATTGATCGTGTTACATAAACGAACAGGCCTGTTGCACACTCGGTACTGGTTGAAATTGTCACAATCCGAGCAAGACATGCACTCATTTATAAAATATATAAAATATTGAGTAGGGCACTTTGGCTAAAAAAAAACATTGTGATGCCGAAATGGCTGTAACAATATTTACAACTTTTAAGCTGGTTGATGAAGGTAAAGACTACTTTTTAGCTAAATAAGATTAGTAGTTCTTTCATACCAGTGTTGTACAGAAAGTAATGTGCAAGTTTGGTTAAACGTTGTAGACAAGGGAGCTACCCCTGTTATCATAGTTTTGTGTGTTTTTAACCTTAATGCTACTTAGGCCCCCCATACACGTAACGATTGGCGCCTGTTAAAGGAGGGTCCCCATAAATGCAACGATTCGTCTTCCGGCCGGACTGAATCTTTCCTGGAGGAGGTGATAGCGTATGCTGCTAATTTTGCAGCTTTGTAGAAAAGGAAAAAGAGGAACAGAAGGGGTTTGTGGCATATAGAGTGGCTTAACAGAACAGCACCAACCGATGTAAATTTATTGGAAGAATTTAGATTGTCACTGTCACTGAACAATACAAAACACTCGATATATGGGACAACACAAAGACTGACCAGAAAATAAAGTTAGTTTATGTCAATGACCGTGCCTAACCCAAAATTAACGTGAATCAAGAATCAACATAATGCTACTACTATTGGCCTTCCGGCGGCCTGCCGGCGACCCCATACACGTACCGATCGGCCGGCCGGCGTGGACTGTTCAGGCCGGGCCGGCCGACCGATCGTTACGTGTATGGGGGGCCTTAGCAATGGCAGTCTTTTCACCATGGAAAGGTTGAGTTAAAACCCTCTTCTGTAGGGGTTGGCTGACTGTCAATGCCTATGTTTCCTATTACCAGTGTTGGGGAAGCTGCGTTTGAAAAGTATCTTATAGTTACTTGAAACTTTTACACACTGTAAGCCTCATTGTGTTGTTGTGCATAATTATGAACTATATTCATTTTAAGTCCAAAATATTCTGCTAGAGAGTATGATGGCCTCTCTCAATAAGTGTGCAAGTCTTCATTACCCCTCTTAAAAAAGGCAAAACATGTCATTAAATTAACCTTTTTCTGACTATTTGTAGGACAAAAGTGTCATCTTGTAAAGGATGTTCATTATTTCCCATAATCTCAAATCTCAAAAGTATTAATTTTTTAAATTCAGAATTTAGTTTATAAAAAAAACTTGTTATATTTACAATGTTATAAGAACAAAATAGAAATAGCTAAACATTCTAAGGTTACAGGTAAATGAAAAAAAAAAAATGAATTAAAGTTATTTTGTCAATAACATTGGCAGAAACAGCTAAATTCTAAAACATCTTTTGGCTTAAAAACGAAGGGGTGTAGTGTACTATTAGCCGTTCTCAAAACGTCTGGTAGTTGTTTGCTGCTGCTTCTAGTTGGTCTGGTGATCGAAGATGTTTTTAGGATTGCACAATGACCTTATCCCTAAAGCAATACCCCCCCCCCCCCCCCCAAACACAACAATCCCTGGGTGATGATAGCTCTTTAGGCCTTTTTTTCAATAAACCTGAATTCACTTTACTTGGAAAGTGGAAATTTTGTATTTTCTCGTAGTGTAGATGTATATCACTACATTTACCACATCTTGCTAGGATTACTTATCAGTTAAGCAATAAAGTAGTTTTAGCTACTTTACAAAGAAATATGCTTGATGTAGTCAACATGCATCTTAGCTACTCAATAAGGGTAAGGAGATTCATTTTTAAAGATCAGTTACATTTTCAATTTACATAATCATCCCTACATTTTAGCGAATTTCCCTATAGGGAAGTAGCTATTACCGTAGGTCTCATGGTAAGACCTAAGCCCGGGACCGATTTACTTTTTCATTTTGATGTCCCCAGAGGCCAAAAACACCATTCGTTCAAATTTTTATATATCTATATATATATATATATATATGTGTCCATCCGCACGATAACTTGAGTAATTTTTGTCCGATTTTGATAGAATTTGGTTTGAAGGTGTAAGGCAGGATAAACTTGAATGAGTTCGCGAACCAGCATGATCGGACTATGGGAACAGGGGTTTATGGGGGGTTTTATGGGGTAAAAATAGGTTTTTCCCAGTTTTGACCCTAAAAACACAAAATTTCACAATTTTTTTTAAACCATTTTGTAGAGCTTAAAAAACAAATAATTTAGTATATTGAAGCGTTATTATGCGCCTAATTGTTACGGAGAAAATTCAAAAAAATTGTAATTTTAAAATTCCCATGTTATTCTTATGGAGAATAAGCCAACTGTTCTGCCCTGCTAAGAAAGAAGGCAGTATGTGCAAAAATGAATATTTTCAGAAAATGACCTCAACTTTGCCGCCATTGCCCTAACACATGTGAAGACTAAACTAATATTTTTTGTTATCTTCGGTAATGCTTAGGCCTAAATATTCAATTGACACTATAAAAAATAAATTTTTTAAACTGGATCAATATAAAAATGCACATACTGCTTTTGTCCTTAGAAATATTTGTGTTCATGCTAAGCCAAAAGGCAGCATCTGCTCATACTGCCATTTTGTTTAGCTAGTAAGTGCTAATAGGAGGACCCTAAGCTAAAAAGCAGTATCTAACTACTACTAGCCATTTTCATATTTACAAACAACAGTGTAAACACAAACACAACAACATAATCTCAGCTGGTAAAAACTGCTTTTAGTTCCTCATTTGTACCCATAATGCTAAGCAAAAAGGCAGTACGTGATGTACATCACTAAGCATAAAGGCAGTATCTACATCGCAGATACTGCCTTTCTTGCTTAGCTTTTATAGATACTGCCTTTTAGCTTAGTTTCTGTTGAAAAATGATGTATATACTGCAATATACACCTGCCATATCTCAGAAACGGTTGTAGATGCGGCTTTTTAAGTGTGTTTTTCAGAATCCCTGACCCCAAAAACCTTAAATTACAACAAAATCTGAAAATCGAAAATTTTGCACTTACTGCCTTCTTTATTAGCAGGGCAGTGTTGTAGTTTGCTTGTTTATGAACATATTTTGATCAAATTTGGAAAATACATTAATTTCTTACTAAACCACAGTACCTTGTAACATTTTACATGAAAAAAAACTTTTTTACCCTCCCTGTTGCAGCAAACCTAAATACTCATTAAACTAATTCTGTTTAAATAGGGAATAAATGTGATATTTTTAAGGAGACATTTTAGTTTAAATCCAATCAGACAAATGGAAATTCGCTAAGTCTGCAGGCTTGCTGCGGCGGGGGTATTATATTTTATCTTTATAATCATGATTGACATTTAACCGGATGTTGCCTTTTTCACAGATCAAAAATTAATTGTTCCATTTTTCCCATCCATTTCATCTATATAATTAATACGCTACACGAAACTTTGTCGGTTGAACGCCTCCGCCATTTCTTAACCGATTTTATTCATTGACGTCTCATTTGAAAGAGCGTGTCGCGTAGATTTGCAAACTGGCCTTACATTTTTGAAAAAGTCCCTTGGGCTCTGCCCCAGTGGCTTTTAAAGTTCCCATGTTATCCTTATGAAGAACATATTTGTTTACATTATGATCAGCTAGATATTTAATTGCTGTTAATATTTAAGGTGAAATTCAAAGAAATGCGTCCTACAAAAATTAAATCATTGAAAGAACCCATTTGCAAATTATGGAAACATAAAAAGACCATGAGTAGATGAAATAGAGAAAATATTTTTTAAAGAATTTATGATCGTTATTAGCCTATATAATGAAGAACACCTACAAGATGAAGATTCCTACAAACGATGAACGAGGGTATTAGCCGAAGTGCTACAATTTATAGTAGGAAACATGGACTTAACTTTTCTAGGAAATGTTAAACATCGTGAGTATCTCCATGAGTTACACACTGGTAATCTTTGAGTTGACTCTTTTAAACTCTTTGTAAATATGGCTGTTTTTCATTTTGAAATAACTTCTGTAATACTTTGCGATTGCTCGAATTCGAGCAACATGTACACTAGTTATTATTATTAGCCTTAATTATTAAATTTTATGATTTACATGTTCTTTGTCAATGAATTTTGTTCAAATTTGTAGGTAGACTTTTCTGTCTTATAGTGAGCTGAAGGCTGAGGGACTAGTCCAAGATACCACCAAAGGATGGCAACGACAATAATATTAGCATTTCTGCTTTTTAGGGGCTATTTAGAATTTATGGTATACTTCTTCCATGTATGTTGATAAAGTTTATTAAGAAAACATTTACATTTATAAATATCTCCATTCAACACATTTTCAATTTATTGTGCCAAATTAAGTATTATTTATTCCATAGAAGGGATGTGTGGATATTGTTTTTAAGATTAGTGTGGATGTGTTTGTTGGGGTTTAAACTATGTAACTGTTATTTTATAATTAATCACTATGTATATTTATTTAATCACTGTTGTTATTTATTTAATCTTTAATCATACATGCTTATTAGTTAGTACCTTAATTATTATATCCTTAATTTAAAATGTTGGCAAAATATAAAATTATCTTCTAAAATCAGATTTAGCAACACTGCCAATCATATCAAACCTGTATTATATTTAAGTAATGTGCAATTTATAAATTTTATAGTCATCACTCATCATGTAACCTAACCAAGGTGTTTTCTCCTTTTGTACTTAGATCTTATAACTAACTATATCTATAAAACAGTCAAATTAGGCGTTGAAACATTGCTATTTAAATATGTTGTTAATTTATTTACAAATTGCTGTAGATACTAGATATAGATTGTATTAATATTTTAGTCATGAATTAAAGTAATTTTGATGCATGGTAGTGCCCATTTAAAATGTCAACTAAATTTGTTCTTACTGTTCCATAAACTTTCTGGTAGCAACGCCCTAAACAATATTATTAGGTATTTATGAAGTAGTTTGAATTGAATATTTACATTAGCTAAATTTAAGAGCCATGCTTGATAATAGTTAGCCTAAATAAAAGTTCACTATCTTAAAAGTTCATCTCTCTTTTTCTTTTTCTTCAAGCCTATCAATGCTATATTGCCTTTTACCGGAATCTTCAACATTAAGGAGATTATTTTTTAACTATGGGTCTGTCATGAGAATTATATTTATCCTATATACCTATTAGTTATTATTCGTATTAAGACTAATTGACCTTTTATTTAGGCCTAATACCACTCATTAAATGGTAACGCAGACAATAATTATAAGTGCTGAACTGTAATTAAAAGTTGAACTAAATCTTTGAACCATTCATTGTCCAGAATACCCATTTTGACTATTTTACCTCAACAATTTGTAAATACTCTGGACATTTTTGTATTTCCCTTGATGAATAATTGATCATGATAAATCTTGAGCTTGGACTAAATCGAATGTAGAATGCTTTCATAATTGTAATTTTTGCTTAATTTGTTTTATAAATTAGTTTTAAAAGCCAAGTATTGAACCACAGGAAGATTCAATTTAAGAATTGTTTGCATAGGTATATATAGAACAATGTAAAGGTCATGTAATGATACGGAAAACTTTACCGGGGTGACTTAATGAGAGAGGTGAGTAAAAAAAAGTGTGAACATCAAAACTCTTTTGGTGTAATCATCCTAAATGTTCATTTGCTAAAATATTGCTCCAAGCTGTTAAAAATGTTTACCTTTTTGAGCAAGAAAATTTACTAAGATAGAAACTTTTAACTTATTTGGGCTAAAAACTGTAAATGGTTTGGTAGAAGAGTCCCAAAACGGTGCATTGAATATTACAATTTAGTTGTTAAAAAGTATTGTGGAAGGATTGGTCTTGAATAAAAAAAAAAATAAAAATTTCAAAATGTAGAACAATACAGATTATATGGTGGTAATTTCTTTTACAAAACTGTTTATAGATTAACTGGAACCAAGTGGACCATGGTTTTAACTAAAAAATTATAATTAAATATTTATATATTCATATTGTTTAGTTTTAAGTTTAGTTGTAAATAATATCATAAATCATAAAAGTCATGTACAAACAAAAAATGTGTCATGTGATGTTTCCTGTGGTGTTTTAATTGTTTATGTAGCATTAGTTTAGTTTGTTTTAAACATTTTGCATTGTACTTAATTAAGCTGAAAGGTTTTAGTATTTGGTTATTATAATCATGTCTAACTGTTTTAATTTAAATTTGATTTATATAGATCTTGCAATGCTTAGTAGAAGTACACTAATAAATCTATTCTGGCATATTGTGTAATGTATCTTTTTTCATTACTTATGTGATACTTCCAATCCAAGATAAAAACAACTCCAGCTTTTGGCAAAACAGCTTGACTACTAATAATAAATACAGTAGATATTCGCTAATCCGGCCCGCGCAAGCCTTTGGCGTTACCGGATTTTTGAACCTTTTCTAAAAACTGTTATCATTGCTTGACTAGCGGGAAAACTGCTAAATAAAAAATTTCAACTGACCGAGCAACTGCCAACGTCTTGAAGCGATTGCTACCGATACCGACTTCTGTCATACATGCTGAATGACTTAAATCAGCATTAAAAGAACACTTACAGACCTTTAAATCAATGTCGGATTATTAAAAGTGCTGAATCACCGACTGCCAGATTAGTGGGGTTTTATTGTAATGTGCATATTTTTCTTGTTCTGCCACCTAAACAAATTATGACCCTATCAGTCTTCAATTGTTATTAATTTTTTTACTCAAACCAGACTCAAAGTAAAAAAAAAATATACTTTATCTACTGATTTAAAATTGATAAAACCACAAATTTTTAGTTTTTTAATGGTTTTGTAGTCTGGGATATGAAATGGGCTGAGCATGCGTATCTAAAGTAAACTACTTATGATTTCAAGTCATTATTATGGTCATGATTTTTCTTAAAATCCACTATCTGAAAATTTAAAGAAAAGTGCTGTTCAAATAATTGTTTCTTGTTTGAAATGTAACTTAAGAGGCCTACAAACTATGGATTTATTCTTGCCATGTTGAGGAGTACATTAAAAATATATATTCTATATCCTTTAGTTTAATTTTATTTATTAGTGTTGATTGACTAATCTTTCTCTTTCAAATTAAGACAAATGTGTGTTTTAAAGTCTGAATTTCATTTTTTATTTTAAAACCCTGTCTGTTTTACTTAAATTATCAGGGGAATCTTTCTCTTTCTTGGTCGATCACAGATTAGAGAAAATTTGTTGATTGAAGGGTCATCTCGCCTTTTTTAATGGCCAATACACACTTAAGAACTTCTTAGAATCTTCATTCTTTTGAGTCGGTCAAATTCTATTTTAGTGACAGCTTAGTCCCGCTTTATTTCTTTTACACCCCCCCCCCTCTTGAACAGCGACATACTGTTTTAAATCCACCATAATGTATATAGAAACGTTTGGAGGATGAACATCATTCCTCCCATGCTCGCCCCAGTTCATATCTTCAGGAGTTGGCTTTCCCATATTTTTGTTCCTTTCAAACTACATTTAAAACAGTATTCTCATTCATAGGCATACAGATAAATATTTTAGTAAAATTTATTTTAAAATCTAGTCAAGTTTCTTAGAACTAAGTTTTTAATTTGAAATGTCGATTTGCCATATTCTAATTTTACATAGGCATTGTGTTGGTGCATAATAAATAAATGACCATATCAAGACTAATTTGAAGTTGTTTTCTTGTATTTCCTGGTCAGCCTACATAAGATTAATGGTAGCTAACCTTATTTTATATCTTAACTTGAGTTGGGCCATGTAAAATGTGGTATAATGTTCATGAATATTTTTGGAAAAAGGCAAATTAGATCTCCTAACCAATGTAAAATCCATTTGGTGTTTCTTTTATTACCGAGAGAGCTATCAACTTTTTGTCCAGAATGAGTCAAAATTCTGGTTAGTCCTACTGTCTAGTATCACTGCTCAAATTTTAGTCCTGATGGTAAAATTATATTCTTTTCCAAATTTGTCAATACAAAGTTTAGACGATGTACACTTTTAATATAACACAAATATAAATACCTTAAGTCAAAAATTTAGCATTGCTACTTAAGTGTTTTAAAATAATTAAAGAAACTTGGCTCTGGCTGAGAGCCACGCTGATGTGTTGGGTAAATGGAATGTTGTAAGTGTTCTGTTGTAACTTAGAACAAATGTGGCCAAGAGCATTGCAAGACATTGTGCAGAAAATGAGTAATAGGTATTCTGGTTAGAGGGTGGTTGATAAAATATCAAGCGAAATGTATATTAATTACATTATGCAGGGAAAAGAGCACATATTAATTATAGGTGTAAAAATTCTATGGCAAATTTAAGTTAAGCTTAATAAATAGTCACACCCAGCTATAATTTAAAAGTATGAAGAATAACAGCAATGCTAAAGTGTGAATATGTGGTTCACCAAAAAATAAATTGTTTTTGCCTGCATAGTATAATAAATAAAAATAAATTAAATTCAGGTACTCATGGTGATACCAAAAATGTATATTTCAACTTTAACCTATTTGAACACACAGTTTTCATTCATAAAATCAGTGAAACTATTTTTGTTGTGAAAGAAAGTTTTTAAAGACCAGTAAAAGTTATCAGCTCTCAAATATTTTTATTCAGCCCAGGTTTTAACTCTAAATAATACACTTGATTAAAACAAAATATCACATTTAAATATTTATTTAAATAAATAATCTTTACAATAATTAATTGTACACATCACAATTTTTTTCAACAATGATGATATTTTAATGGTATGGAATTTGTAACATCATATAAACATAATATATACAACATATACAAAATATGAGTTTCATAAACATCAAGCTAACTTAACTTACTTTTCATTACTGAAAAAGTAAATTTATGAAAAATTGTCTGAGTATTATATTAACTAACAAGTGTTTGGATTTGTAAGTTGAATCAATTTTGAGTCGTCGCTAAGACTACTAATTAAGCCATTTTTTATTTTTTTTTTATTTAATTGAATTGTTGACTGTTGTGGAATTTTAACCAAGTAAAATTTTGTCCAACAACTAAACTTCATTCTATATTTCTAGGCACAACATAACATTTTTTATTTTTTACGAAATAATTCATTGTTGGAAAAATACAGTTACCGCTCTCTTCAAACTAAGATGGATTTTAATGTTATGTTTGTCAGAAAAGTCAAGAAGTTACGTTACTAATGTTCTACTGTCACAGAACTAATTGTTCACCAACTTGTCTGTAGCAGGTTACATTGCCAACTAGTCACTTTGCATACTACTGGTTGGGTACTTCAAAAGAGATTCTTATTCTTACAAACATTGCTTTGCGTTTATAATAGTAGTCAATAAAATTTTTCATTACCATTTGATTAAATGCAAGTAAGTACTTTACCATTTGATATGGTAAGGTACATGGTATTTGATCTTTTAAATTATTATTTGCTCTGCCATAGCGATATGCCATTAGCTTTCAAAGTTAATGGAAAATAATTTTATGTTATCACCAGTTGTGTTCTCATAAAGGACCAGACATTGAGTTTAGCAAGATTATGCATTCCATAAGGTAACTACTAAATACAAAAAAATACTAGACTAAGCTTCTTTTTTATCTGTTGCGCTGTGTAATATTCTTTTCCCCAACGAAAATATGATTCCAAGGCAAAGTGAACCAACTACCTGGGAACAGAAAAAAAAGAATGAAATAAAAATCAAGATAGGCCTATGAGCATTACTAGCTTTAAATTTGATTAAACCCAATGAAACCAGTGAACTTAATGAAAGTTTTCTTCTAGTTACATTTATTTAACTAGGAAGGAAAGATTAGCCAAGTCGTAACCTAAATGTGAATTAAGTAGTGAGTCTAAGTTTTACACAGTTTGATATACACATTTTCCTAGATTAGCGATTCGGAAAAATATTTAAGCTGGAGGTGTTGGCTCAGAAGGTTTTAGGAAGGGCCTGACGTTCCCGTGAGGTTCTGGGCAGGGTCGTCTTGCCTAAGAGTGGGCATTTGCCATTACCCTCCGGACGCTGGTGACTGCAAAGGCACCAGTGATCGGCGGATAGCGACTGATGGTACTGACTACAGTCTAGGTGGTAAACTTCTCGGACAGTTGATGGGGCTCTCGGGTATGGCCATCAGGTTGTCCCCAGGGTTCTACCCGCTCACGGTCGGAATCCACGGACTTTCGAATAATTTTAACAGATCATCAGTGACAAATTTTTTGTTGTTGTCTACATGCTGCAAGATTAAAGATTCAAAAAGTCTTTGTTCATCATACACAATTTATTTCATCAGTACACAATTAATATACATGAATAGTGTTGTCTATTGTTACTTACTACCTACATTAGCAATAAACAAAATTTACTATCAATTATTTAAAATAACATTAAAATTACTAGAATCTTCTATACTGTAAGGTGCAAGGTTAATTAAGAATGCCTTCAGTTTTTTATAAATTTAGATTTGTCTTTTTAGTTTCTTGAAAAGCTAAGAAGTTTTAAAAAAATAGTTTGGAATATAAGTTTTATTTATATAAGTTTTTGACCTGGTCTGCAAAACCAAAAGCAGTCGTTTTATTCCATTCAATAGTCGAAAGTCGAACTACCAGGTTAGTTAGAATGTTAGATCACAGATTTTAGGATTGTTCTGATTGATTCCGATATTGAGCTATGTAATGAAAACGATAACAACAATACATTAACCGAAATTACACAATGTGTAGTGTTACTTTATACTTAATTCTCTTTTCTTCACTGAACTTAAATGAACAACTTATTATTATCTTTTACTTTTAATCTTCTATTAATTTAATTCGTACATAACCTTACTTTTACAAACCTTGTCATGCGACTATATTAACTGTTTAAATCGATTATCAAAGGTTTAAATGTAATCACAACACAAATACTAAACTATTGGGTCAGTCAGTTCTTCACTCCAGTCTACTTCCAGTTTCAGTCCAGTTACAAGCACCTAACCAGCAGACCACTGCCACTGGACAGTCACCTCTCACTTCAGTCTCTTCGGTCGGTCTTGGTACGAAAAAAAGCAAATGATTTGGAGTACGCGAACAGGTCTTTTGGGAAGGCGTGATCCGGGTTCACTTGGATGACCCATTTGAATTTCCAGTGGTGGGCTGTTCTTGACCGTGTATAGGACCCGCCCCTTGTGACGTCAAAATTACGTACGGTAGGTGTTTTTCATGGAGGTAAATTTCCGAGGGTAGAATTTCCGGATGAAGTAGACAGTGAGACTGCTGACAGGGAAGAATACAACTGCAGTTTCAGCGCTAGAAGTGAGAATGATTCTAGGGGACATTGGACCGCCATGCTTATTCCTACCATCCGACATGGGTGGAACGGGAGCATGGTGAAGTCGGGTATTATATATGAGCCAGATTTTGTTGGGTCACGGGTAGCACCGGGCCATTTTGCACAGAATGAGGAAGGCCGCCAGCGTGGACTGTCTTAACTGTCCTGGCATTGTGGACATGGCCAAGCACATGTTCTTCTTTTGTGACAGGTGGCATGTCCGCCGAGCCTCCTTGATCTCTGAGATCGGCGTCGTCATTAATCCCGACATTGCTCGATTGCTGGAGCTATACTCCAAGGGGAGGGTACCTGGAACTGTGTCAAACAGCTCACCAAGGCCATACTTTGGGATAAGAAGGTCGATCTTGATCGGCCTTCGCCTTTGGAAGAAATAAGAAGGATTGCCCTAGTGACATAGTTTAAAATGCCTAGACTGAAGTAATGTGCTTAACAGTTCCAGGCTGGTGTCCTTGGAGATGAGGTGTGTTTTATAGTCCGGGGACATTGAGTCCGCAGGAATTTGGCACTACTGAGAGGCCGTTTAGCATCTCAGTGTGTGTAAATGCATTTTTATCTCCTCCCCACAAGAAAAAAAGAACAAAAAACTATTTACTATATGGAAAAGTCCTCAACTAGTGTTAAGATAAAAAAACAAATGTGGGTTATTCTGAAAGTAAACAAAATTTGACAAATTAATACACCCGAGTATGGCATGTTTTTTCATAAAAACAATCAATTATTTTCATTATTCAATCATGTACGTTTGAGATATTTTCTTATTTTTTGAACATTGGTTTCATTAAGGTATATTTTATTCATCAATCTTTTTATATAGGCCTACTTACCACTCCTTGAGCTGCCACTCTTAACTGGACAAGAAAAAGAGACCGAGACATATTTCCCCTATGTTTGTACTTGTATGCTCCAATCCCCAAAGCAGCAAGAAATCCCACTATGCCTGAAAAATCCAATTGGAACATGAAGATAATCATTTGATCAAATTTAAAAGAGTGCTGTCCCATTAGTGCCAAAACCTACAAAGAAAAGCAGTACAGACAAAGCCCATTTTTTACTGTACTTTATAATTTGTTTTGGGTAAACTAAATTATAGTTTAAACAATAATATATATACCTATATTACACAATTCTTCAGATGCTTAGAATCATTACCTAACACATACAAAATAAGCAAACACTAAAAGTCAGAAATTTAACCTGATGATGTTTTTCAAAAAAAAAAAAATTAAAACTTGCAAAGTTTTACTTATAATTGTTTACAATTTAGTTTTCATCATGAAAGGCAATACAGTATCCTAAGTTAATCAATAGTTACTTTTACATTTACGTTTACAAGCATTTACTTACCTATAGGCATGAATGGGTTTTCTTTCATCTTCCTGGAAAGTTTGTCGCCTTGATCTTCCATTTTGAATGTAACTTAGCTGTTAACAGAAGAAGAACAACATTAACCTTTTACCTCTAGTATCAAAGTCAACTAGGCGTACATATAGAACTTGTCTAGAAACATATATGTATATGTAGGCTATATATATTATTTGTAATCTATCTATATATATAAAATCGAATGTATGTTTGTATATTTGTATATTTGTATGTTTGTATATCTGTATGTTTGTCCTTTATGGACTCCAAAACCGCTTGACAAATTGTAATGAAACTTTCAGGCATTATTAAGTAGCCTATTATTCAAGGATGGTTTGTGTGAAGTTTGGTGCGGATCCGTCTATAGGGCTCCGCCCCAGTGGCTCTGGAGTTTCCCATGTTAACCTTATGAGTACTCATATTTAAATGGAATTAAAGAATCTTAACAGCTGGTGCAACTAAACAATTTGATTCTGTGATGTTCAATAGCATTAAAAAGTTAATAGGTTTACCAACAGGGTGCAGCACTATATTTATTTTTAATTTATGAGAACAGCTAATTTGCAACCAAAAGGTGAGTGAGCGTAGCGAACGAACTTCAACCTAGAGGCGAGTTAGCGTAGCGAACGAGCTAACCTGAAGGCAAGTGAGCGCAGCGAACGAGCTCGAACCCAAAGGTGAGTGAGCGTAGCGAACGAACTTCAACCTAACGGTCAGTGAGCGTAGCGAACGAACTTCAACCAGGACGTGATTGAGCCATGCGAACGAGCTCATCTTGAAAATGAACGAGCATGTGACATAAAACCACAATAGGACAGGACGACGTCTGTCGGGCCAGCTAGTATATATATAAAATCCAATGTATGTATGTTTGTTTGTCCTTTATGGACTCCGAAACCGCTAGGCAGAATATAATGAAACTTTTAGGCATTATTAAGCATTTTTCAAGGATGGTTTGTGTGAAGTTTGGTGCACATCCGTCAAAAGGGCTCCGCCCCAGTGGCTCTGGAGTTTCCCATGTCAACCTTATGAATACTCATATTTAAATGGAATTAAAGAATCTTATCACCTGGTTCAACTAAGCAATTTGATTCTGTGATGTTCAATAGCATTGAAAGGTTTATTTATATGTTTACCACCAGGGTGCAGCACTATTATTTTTTTAAATTTATGACAACAGCTAATTTGCAACCAAAAGGTGAGTGAGCGCAGCGAACGAGCTCCAACCTAAAGGTGAGTAAGCATAGCGAACGAACTTCAACTAGGACGTGATTGAGCCATGCGAACGAGCTCATCTTGAAAAGGAACGAGCAATTGACATAAAACCACAATAGGACAGGACGACGTCTGTCGGGCCAGCTAGTCTATATATATAAAATCAAATCCAATGTATGTTTGTTTGTTTGTCCTTTATATGGACTCCGAAACCGCTCGACAGATTGTAATGAAACTTTCAGGCATTATTAAAGGATGGTTTGTGTGAAGTTTGCTGCTGATCCGTCAAAAGGGCTCCGCCCCATAGGGTTTAAAGTGGGACAATGTCAGACTTTTTGAACTACAATGTTTACAAATAAATATAATTTAAAAGCAGATGTTTACTGGCTCTGAAGTTTCCCTTGTTAACCTTATAAGTACTCATATTTAAATGGAATTATGAATCTTAACAGCTGGTTCAACTAAACAATTTGATTCTGTGATGTTCAATAGCATTAAACAGTTAATAGGTTTTGACAACAGCTAGTTTGCAACCTAAAGGTCAGTGAGCGTAGCGAACGAACTTCAACCTGGAGGCGAGTTAGCGTAGCGAACGAGCTAACATGAAGGCAAGTGAGCGCAGCGAACGAGCTCCAAACCTAAAGGTGAGTGAGCGTAGCAAACAAACTTCAACCACGATGTGATTGAGCCATGCGAACGAGCTCATCTTGAAAATGAACGACCATTTGACCTAAAACCACATTAGGACAGGACGACATCTGTCGGGCCAGCTAGTTTTTCTATAAAATAACAAATTTTCTGTATAATCCAATTAATAACTGGACCTTTCCCCTTAATTCACTACCATTTGGCACGGACGAGGCAAAGTCATATGTATGTCCCTTCTCCACCTCTCCATGTAAACAAATTGGTCAATGCACACACAAGTGAAGTGGCGCGGGCGGCCGCTCTCCCGCCACCGCCACGTCGCTTCGGCGTCCCTTGTGGCGTATCGGAAGTAGCATATCCGTAGTGCACCTGATGTTCGAACTGCAAATATTGTACTTACAAACCTTGTTTGTTGTTTTGTGTTTAGAGTAATTGTGAGTTGTTTCTTGTTCTTTTCACTATGCGAGACGAATGTTGCACCCCATCCTTGCATTAATAAACTTTAAGTGTGACTAACCAAATGTTTTAAAATGTTTATTGTGTTGTGGCGTAGGTACGGGTGGGTGGAGAATCAGGGATATACATCCCTCCTTGAACATCTTATCTTATATAAAAAAAAACCTTTGCAAAACTTAAGACAGCTACCCTGGCTAACTGGACCAAATTACACGCGTTTGGTACCAAATGAAAGATATTTTCCTGTAGATGTGTAGAATCCCTAAATTAGACTAAAAAATAAGCATGAAAAATCAATTTGAATTTAAAAAAATTAACATGGGCCTTATGGGTTGCCATGGTGGTGACAAAATAATAACAATTGTTTTAGATTTTATTTTAGAAACAAGTGTTACCAACAAAAAGTTCCAAACATTTTGTTCCAAACTCCAGTGTAAACGCGGCTGAAGTAAGTAACTTAGGCTTACATGAGAAGTAGGCCCAAGTTAGACCTAAGTAACTTACATGAGGTTAGTTTATTTGAAAATTACATAAGTTTATCTTTAGCTTTGCCACGGCCTAACTTACTCAAATCTAAAATAATGGTAATCAAACGGTTCAATAAGCTCCCATGTAATTTAAGGCATGTAAGTTAAACGGGAAGTACAATACTTTCCAGCTATTGTGAATGTCATTGAAGAGGTTATACTTTGATTACATCATCTTAAATAAACTTAACTTTGAAATATTTGAGCGCTTTACATACTACATGACAAATCATTTAGAATAATAAATAGTTAGAAAAGCTGTCAAATATTACCTGTACAATTAAATTGTAATAGTTGTTTTCAAAGATTTGCAATTTCGAATTTGATTTTCGTAACTTGGCAAATTCGGGTGACTGACAGAAGACCAGATGAAGACAGAAGAAAGAATAAGAATAGAAAAAAAGGTGCATAGAGTTGGGAGATCACGTTGCAAAGAGGTAAAAAGGACCATGTCGTGTACCTGTATAGGATTTATGTATATACTCTCAACTTAACCACTCATAGTATAAAATATGCAGACACTTTTCAATGAATAATTAATTAGTGTATTCAAATAACTTTTGGTGAAAAATGGGGTGTTTTGTAACTGCCAGAAGTGTATTTTGACTCTAGATTAAGAAAACTCTGTAGTCTATGATTTAGCTTCAAATAAACTAGCTTCACTTCAACCATAGATAAAACGAGTATGTTTTATCTATGATAAAACATACTCCCTTAGTAGATTTCTCATCCTTATGGAACAGCTGAAGACAATTTTATTGTTAGTTCATGTACGGTTTATGTAGAGGTCGTGTTTTGTTTACAATTTGTTTCCCGTTATTACAGCCATTTAAAACCTCGTTCAACCAAATAATACGATCTAATCATAAACAATAACTTGTCCCCTAGTTATATAACCAAACAGAAAAGCACAAATCAAGAAATTAACCCTAAAATAATGGAAACAAAGTTTCATCGACACTAGCGCCTTTGTGTCACGTACATGAACTAGACACGATAAACGTGCTTCAAAATTTACAATGGGATGAGAAGTCTACTTGTGTTGGTTAGTCTATGCTTCAACGTAGTTGGTGAAACTGCCAAATGGACGAAACTGGTCTATTCTCAGCTGTCTGCTAGCTGTCTGAGTAATCACAACAAACAAGCGCGAAGCGGAGATGCGTACGTCAAACTAGGCCTACTGGTGGTTTCAACTTTTTAAGTTATATTTATTTTCGCTTATTGTTGTTTGTTGTTGTTGCTCGATCGAATCTCGACTCGAATGGATGATGTCGTCTCGTCTCCGTCCGTAGTCTGCTAGACAACTAGACAAGACAACCCCTAGCCAATGAATATAAACCTTTGTATTTATTATTGCCCTAGCCTAGTAGTAGTCCTAGTAAGTAAGTTGATAGGTAAGTAAAAGCTTGTTCTTAACCTAATTGGGGGTACAGTTTTACGACTGGGCTATGCTAATATCGAGGGTACAGCTTCATACTGTAACTGGGCTATGCTAATATCGATTGAAACTAACGAATTGAAAATACATATTGATTAACTCAACTGGCTGGGTATCTGAATGGTTGTAGTGCTCGCATTAACTTACTATTAAGTTAAAGGAGTTGCCGGATCCTGAGAAAAGTCATTACAGTAGCTTTTTTTATGGTTCGAAACTGAACCCAGCTGTCTTTAATCATTGGACGTTAAATAATGATCGTGGCTGATAAACAGGTGATCCTAGTCATATAAGCCTAGGTCGATTCACACACATCAGTTCTGGCACATCCGCACGTCACAGTTCAGTTAGGCCTACATCAGTCGAACGTCACAGTCAAAAATGTATTCTTTCAATCAATTTTCTTTTGTGCAAGGCTCTAGGCTTATCTACACTCACCAGGTGCAGTTCCAATGCAGGTCAGTCAGTCGCTGAGCCGGCGTTTGTCAGTCAATTTAAGATTTCTTCCCCCCAATCTTTTGGGATTGTTTGTATGCCTCGTGAGCAGTGTGATGTATGTGTTTGAGGTTAAAAAATATGGTAAGTGTTTTTTAGCTAATTTCCCTATAGGGAAGTAGATTACCGTAGGTCTCATGATAAGACCTAGGCCCGGGACCGATTTACTTTTTTGTTTTGTTGTCCCCAGAGGCCAAAAACACTATTCGTTAAAATTTTTATATGTAGCCTACTTATATAGGCTACCTATATATATAGGCCTACTAGTGGTCGTCCAGTGGTCGAAAACTCGACCAAAAACATGTAGGTAATGTACATGTATTGACTATTGGATACAGAAGTAGACAGCCCATCTATAGACCGGCCAGCTGTCGCCATTTTTTAAATTGAAAAATCATGTAGTTGTGTGTGCCAGTAACCGAATGCATTTCTTAAATTCTATTTTCTACCTTATGTTGCTGATAGAGTTGATGGGTCATAACAGTTGCTATAGCTCATAATAAGTCATTCTAAAAGTTTGACTTGGTAAAAAACATCGTGTATTCGACGGAAATTAGTCATTTGGATCAGCGCTGGTGGCTCAAATCAACAACGACGAATTTAAAGAAAAAACTGGTGACAACTTTAACATGGGGAATGGAATGTAAAGGTACAGGCTTCTCTATTTTCACACCACGCTGTAAATAAAACATGTGATTGTAATTCCATTTGTTTTGATTTTATGTTTATATTTTGTGTTTATATTTCGTCCGTGCAATGCACACAAGCTGAGAAAAAAGGTTTTAAAGAAACATGCTTCTATTAATATATAGATAGATATCTATAGTAGAACCTTGATAACAAGACTCTCAAGGGGATTATTAAATGAGACTTGTTATCAAGGTTGACTCCTTATTGAGGTTTGCAATAACATGTGATTTGGGTCAAAATAAATTCAAGGAGATTTAAAAATGGCACTTGTTATCAAGGGTGACTTGTTATCAAGGGTCTTCTTATCAAGGTTCCACATATGTGTCCGTGAACGCGATAACTTAGGTAATTTTTGTCCCATTTTGATAAAATTTGGTTTGAAGGTGTAAGGCAAAAAAAACTTGAATGAGTTCGGGAATCAGCATGATCGGACTTAGGCCTCTTTTATGCACGGCGTTTTCCGTCGGGCGGAATCTATCAGAATCTATCGGGCTTTCCGTCGGTGAGTGTTTTAACATGGGATCAAATGGGACCCTTTTATGCACGACGGAATCTCCGTCGCGTTTCAGAATTCCGTCGGAGGCCGACGGAGGACTTAGACTCCGCCGAGTTTCAGCGTTTCGTGGAGCGTGTTTTTACATAGGTTCAAATGGAACCCTTTTATGCAACTGCGTTTTCCGTCGGGCGGAATGTAGTGCTGCCAACCTACCCCACGCTGTGTCATCCACAGTATTGAAATCACCTACGGTAATCATTGTAAATAGAATATTATTATTCATTGTAATTGATTGAAGAGTACAAATAAAGTGATGTAATTTAGGAAAAAAAATACTGCATGAGAATTAATTACATTTTTGTTTAAAATCCGCGGAATAATACAAACTTACTGTTTCGTAGGAACTTCTCAAACTTTTCCCCATCATTTCGCAGCAACCCATATAGGTTTGTGAAAGCCCCATCCACCCTACGACTTTCATTAACCGGGTGTACAGCCCATCTCCTTCGCCGTCGTCTATTTCTCTTCATGTACAAATAAGTATACACCAATACACAAGGATCCATCTTGGGTCACTGACGATGGCAAAATGAACGAAGTTGGTAGCACTGACCACCCCCACCACGGGCATCAGCGGATTCCGCTCGGCGGAGAAACTGCATAAAAGGGACATCGATTCCGCCCGACGATTTCGCCCGACCGAAAACGCCGTGCATAAAAGAGGCCTAAGAGTACGGGGCTTAAAGGGGGGTTTTATGGGATAAAAATGGGGTTTTCTCATTTTTTACCCTTAAAATACAAAATTTATCAATTTTTCTCCAGATCTTTTTAAAGAGCTTAAAAAACAAATAATTTTGTACCCATATCAAAGTGTTTTTGGACGGTTATTGGCAACGGAGAAAATTAAAAAAAAAATGTCTTAAAATTCCTATGTTATTATTATGGGGAATAGGCTATTGTAAAATGTTGTAGTTGGCTTGTTTATGGATATATTTTGATAAAACTTGGCAGATTTATTTATTTTATACTAAGCTAAATAATTGATAAAAAAAAACACCTTATCAGTTTCCCTGTAGCAGCAAACCTAGGTATACTCGTCAAACATAAATGTTAATTTAATAGATTAACTAGTGTACATGTTGCTCAAATTCAAGCAATTGCAAAGTATTACAGAAGATATTTCAAAAGGAATAACAGTCATATTTACAATGAGTTTAAAAGAGTCAAATTAAAGATTACCGGTGTGTAACTCAGACCATGTTTATCTTCGTTATTGATAAACCTAAAGCATTCCGGCCAGTTTTCTTCTCAAAATGCCTCGCTGTACAGGCAACACAGGTCATTGGTAGAGGGCCAATTGAGAACGAAAAGTCGTTTTGGGGTAGTGTTAGGGGGCATTTGTAACCTAATAGATGAGATTGTCCAGGGTCAGGTGCTGACTGTGATGAGTTAAGCCTATTACGCGCCACTGTTCTGTAGCTGCGGTCGTTATCACGATTACGCCTCCTGTCTATGTTTCGTTGTCGTCACATCGGAGGCATTTAAAAGAAAAAAAAAACAACAAATAAACAAATTATAGCTACACAGAACAACGATAAATGCACAAATTTAAGTTACAATCATGCTAACACGATTCGTCATAGCGACACAAAACAACGATAAATACACAAATTTAAGATACAACCATACTAACACTATCCGTCTTGGGGGTTATGTTTACACACACTCAGATCTAAATATATAAAAGGCAAAGCCCTCACTGACTCACTGACTCACTCATCACTAATTCTCCCACTTCCCATTTACCTAGGAGGCTGAAATTTGGTACACTGATTCTTTAGGCATTAAATAGGAAAACTAAGTAGTTTTTATTCTGATCGGACTCTCGGGCTCCGCCCCAGTGGCTCTGGAGTTTCCCATTTTAACCTTATGATTTTTCATATTTAAAAGGAATTAATGAATCTTAACAGCTGTTTCAATTAAACAAGTTAGTTCTATTCTATGATGTTCAATAGCATTAAAGTTACAAGGATTACCAACAGGGTGCAGCACTATCATTTTTTTTTTTTAATATATGACAACAGCTAATTTGCAACCAAAAGGTGAGTGAGCGTAGCGAACGAAATTCAACCTGGAGGCGAGTTAGCGTAGCGAACGAGCTAACCTGAAGGCAAGTGAGCGCAGCGAACGAGCTCCAACCTAAAGGTGAGTGAGCGTAGCGAACGAACTTCAACCAGGACGTGATTGAGCCATGCGAATACTTATGAAGTTAAACGGGGCAAAGCCCAAGGGTACAGCTAGTAGTAAATAAATGTACTCAATGCGTTTCATTGAATTGAAAAATAAGTAACAGCAATTAAATTATACAGCTGATCAAAATGTAAACAATTATGTTCTTCATAAGGATAACATGGGAACTTTCAAAACCATTGGGGCAGAGCCCAAGGGACTTTTTAAAAATGTAAGCCCAGGTTGCAAATCTACGCGACACGCTCTTTCCAATGAGACGTCAATGGATAAAATCGGTTAGGAAATGGTGGAAGAGTTCAACCGACAAAGTTTCATGCAGCATATTAATTGTATAGATTGATAATCAATCCAGGCAAATGGAAATTTGGTTAATCGGCAAGTCTGCTGCTGGGGGGATATGGTCATATTTAAATGATGTGTTTATTTTTTAAGTCCCCACTGTTTGTAACAATCAACAAGACGGACGATGAAAAACTTATAGAATAGGCTAGGGTGTTTAATTAAAAATTCTTGACTGTAACATCACTGTAAAATATAGTGACGGAAGACTGACTGAAACCATAGATAAAACATACCTGAAACCAACTGACAGACAGTTGACTGAGGATTTGCTGATGCAACTGAGACTGAACTGTGTTGACGGGACTGATGTGTGTAAGTAAATCGACCTTTAACAAAATCTATAAAGATCATCTCACACCATTCTACACTCATCATTTAAGGTAGATTCCCACACATCAGTCCAGTCACTGTTCAGTCTCAGTTGCATCTAGAATTCCTTTAAGGTCATAAATATCCATCAGTTGGTTTGAGTCAGTCTTCCGTCACTTTATTTAATGCTGGGACTGTTGTGTGTGAATCGACCTTTACTCATATTTGGGTTAAAATACGCACTAGGTGCCGTCCCCATCTCAGTTGACAGTTGATAATGATAGTAATAGTAGTAGGCCTAATGATTAAGTCTAATGATAAACCTAATGATAAGCCAGAAAGTCGAACAACTTACCATACTAACTTAGGTTTTTTAAGGGTTGAGCACATTTTAGGCACAATCCTACTAGTTGTTTACATTACAACCCTTGGAGTGCTATGCATTTATCGTTGTTTACTAAAATCTCTGGGATATAGAGTCTCATTTTCAATCCTTGCTACATATCTTCGATACATATCGTGTACCTAAAATAGTTACTCATTGAAAATACTTAATAGGCCCTAGGTTTTTTTGAATCAGGAAAATATCTAGTTGTTACTAGGTCGACAACAAGGGAGTTCTGGGCTATTAGAATTCATTAGAGCCAGCCATCTATAAAGCCAAAGGGAGTGACAGTAAAAAGACTTGAAACTTTTTCACAGATGAATTTTAGCGTTAAAAGGTTAGGTACCGGTAATCTTCTCCTAGTAAGAGAATTTACACCCTTGACCCTTGACTTTCAAAATCTAAAAAAGTCAGGTACATCCTGCATTTCTTTACATAGGCCTATGTAAAGTATTTGTTTGAAATAGTGTTTCACTTAGGCCTATATAAATCACCTACTAAGACTTTCATCATCACTGGTGAAAAAACTTTTTCAGAATATCTTTGAATAAATTAACTTTTGATATTGTTGCAACTTTAGGTGGGCATATTTTAAATAAGCTTTTGTAACTTGATTATTTTTATATTTTTAATTTAATTGCTATTGATCAATTAAGAACAAAAGATCTGCATGTTACTTATTTGTATCTCTCTGTAGGTTGGAGATGGAGGTGTGTGTGGACTGTGTCACGTCAGCTGTGAATGCTGAGGCAGGCGGAGCTTCTCGTCTGGAGCTGTGTAGTGCGCTGAGTGAAGGAGGGCTCACACCTTCCGAGGGGTTTCTCCGAGTGGTCAAGTCTCTAGTCTCCATCCCTGTATTTGTCATGATCAGGCCACGGCGAGGCTTAGATTTTGTCTACAGCAAAGATGAAGTAAGAATAATGGAGTTTGACATTAAACGTTTGAAAGATTCAGGAGCTGATGGTTTTGTGTTTGGAGCTTTAACTCCTGACAGAAAAGTTGATAAGGAGGTTTGTTCCTCGTTGCTCCAAGCCGCCTCTCCTTTACCTTGCACATTTCACCGTGCCTTTGACATTGTAAAGAACCCTCTGGAAGAGTTAGAAACTGTCATATCTTTGGGGTTCAAGAGGATCTTAACTAGTGGTCTAAAACAAAACGCATATGAAGGAGTGAGTGTGATTAAAGACTTGATAAAACGTTCACAAGGCTTGATATCTGTAATGCCAGGAGCAGGAATAGCTGAGAAAAACTTAGAAGTAATTTTAAAAGAAACTGGTGCAAAAGAGTTTCATGCTTCTGCTAGAAAACCAATAAATGCGATCAACAGCTGTAATGACGAGGACTTAAATGTTTCAATGGGATCTTCAGACAGTGACTTTTCATTACTTGTAACCGATTCAAATTTAGTTAAAGAGATGGTCAAAATTAGTAATCTGGTTTGGTCAGAAAGTTAACAAAAAATTGTCCATGGGATTAATAAGCTTAACCTATCTTTAAGTTTTTTTTAGTGTTCTAGTTTTCACAACCAATGATTTTACACAACTTTTCATATATTGTATGTAAGGCTAAACAACTTGTATTTAAAGTTAAAAAATATTTTTAATACATCAATTTACCAAAATAACAATAAAGTATCCTTTCCAATGAATTATATTAGAATTTTGATTCTTACTTTTAATAGTTGAAGTATAATTAAAGACTATGTTAGGGTATTCAAAAAAACCTTATTTAACAATGCTCAAATAGGCAATTCTTATCCAAATCAAATGTTTTTGAGATAAAAACCAGTTCTAGTTTATCCCATGTCTGCTAGTGTTTGTAAACCTGCATCTAATGTATACATACTAAAATAAACACAAAAACTGTTTGGAAAGTTTGAAGTTGTTACAAACATAGAAAAAAGTATTGTAAAATAAAACTAGACTTAATAATGGTGGTTGGTAATTTTGGGGCAGCTACTTCTTCACTGTATATGCCACTTATAATAAAAAGTTAGATAACAGTTTCCCAATAGTCAATGGCAAAACTCTTACTATGCTTGCACATTTACCGCCAATTAGAATTAGAACATATGTATTTATACAAGTGTTACTAGTTGCACAATTATTTCGTATACTTTATTACTAATCCCTTAGTTATCCCGGGCATGGGATGAGTTTTATTTAGTTCTTGTAAGTAAGTCGCTTTTAATAAATCTCAAATACTTATACTGAAAATGTGGGATGCTGATACACCTCCCGACAGAGGCCTAAAGCAGTCTTCAACTCTGAGAAAAATTTTACTTGGAACACTTCTTATTTCGTTTATTGGATACATAGCCTTGCCTGTTGCTTTCAAATATTCCTCGACTTTGATAAGAAATATAACTTTTTTAAATCTGGTAGATAATCCATTCCGACCGAGTTTGCTAAATCCTTCAATGAACTACGGATTCATAGGAGCTCGCAATTTCTACCTGACCTCTCCAGATGGTAAGGACCTGGGAGTGTGGCACTTGCTGCCGTCTGAGCTACAGCAGGAAGCCTCTACTCTGCAAACTGATGATCCTTACAATGCCAAGGTCGCAGCTCACTACCACCAGTGGCTCCAGGATGCCAAAGTGTTTGTGTATTGTCACGGAACTGCTGGCTCTAGAGCATCAGCAGGTCGCATAAAACTGTACAGTCTCTTGAACAGGTAAGTGCAACTACGACAAACATCGCTTGATGGTTATTTCATTGAATCCCAAAACTTATCTCTATTCATATTTGGCTTAAATTACCTACATTAGTATGGTCGCCAATCCATAAGAAAAGTATTAAATCTAGAAACTTAGCCATGAAGATATTGTAGCAAGGCAAGTGTGTAGTATGAAATTTATTTTTTACATCGGAAAATTAAAAATTTATTGCTTAATTCTCTTGATTACCAAGTTGGAATACTTAGAAATAGAATTCAAGGTGGTTGATGGAAAGGAAGGCGCACGCTCTATTTTCTTTGTCCTTTAACCTTTTCTTTGTCAACATCCTCTCTCTAGTCACACATGTTTAGACAGTTAGTTGCCAAAGACTTTTAAATTTTTAAATCTTTTAAGATATTATGTTGAAGGAAGATAGAGATCAGCTTAAGAAAATATAAGTTTTGGGATTGATACACAAAGTGTATCATGCTATTAAAAAAGTTCAAAAATATAATTTCACAAAAACTGCAATATCTTGGTTTTGTTCATACTTTAATAACCATACCTAGGCAAAGAGTCGCAATTGAAAGAGATTTATTAAAATTTCAATCAAATCGGTGAAGGATTTCAGTTGGTGTTCCCCAGGGTTCAATCCTTGGACAAATATTATTCTTAATTTATATAAATGATCTTGATGGGAACATTAATACAAACCTCATCTTGTATGCAGATGACACCACTGCAGCTATAGCGTTGAAACTCTGCAAACGTTCGTTTTCTAGCTACTACCTTTGGGCAAAACATGAATGAAACCTTTTAAGCCATTTGGAAAATTCAGCTATTTCAAATATTTGATGCCACAGAACATGACGTGATGATGGACGCTCGTATTATGTTGTAACAGTTGCGTTTGTTGCAGTCTAGGGTACCACGTGGTGAAGTTCGACTACAGAGGCTATGGAGACTCCAGTGGTCACCCCACCACAGAACATGATGTGGGGATGGACGCTTATACAATGTTGTAACAGTTGCGTTTTTTGCAGTCTAGGGTTCCACGTGGTGACGTTTAACTACAGAGGCTATAGACTCCAGTGGTCACCCCACCACAGAACATGATGTGGTGATGGATGCTCATACTGTGTTGTAACAGTCGCGTATGTTGCAGTCTGGGTACCACGTGGTGACGTTTGACTACAGATGCTATGGAGACTCCTGTGGTCACCCCACCACAGAACATGATGTGATGAGGGACGCTCGTACTATGTTGTAACAGTTGTGTTCATTGCAGTCTAGGGTACCACGTGGTGACGTTTGACTAACAGAGGCTATGGAGACTCCACTGGTCACCCCACCAAAGAACATGATGCGGTGATGGACGCTCATACTATGTTGTAACAGTTGCGTTTGTTGCAGTCTAGGGTACCACGTGGTGACGTTTAACTGCAGAGGCTATAGAGACTCCAGTGGTCACCCCGCCACAGAACATGATGTGGTGATGGATGCTCAAACTGTGTTGTAACAGTTGCGTTTGTTGAAGTCTGGGTACCACGTGGTGACGTTTGACTACAGATGCTATGGAGACTCCTGTGGTCACCCCACCACAGAACATGATGTGATGAGGGACGCTCGTACTATGTTGTAACAGTTGTGTTCATTGCAGTCTAGGGTACCACGTGGTGACGTTTGACTAACAGAGGCTATGGAGACTCCACTGGTCACCCCACCACAGAACATGATGTGGTAATGGATTCTTGTACTATGTTTCAACAGTTGTGTTTGTTGCAGTCTAGGGTACCACGTGGTGACGTTTGACTACAGATGCTATGGAGACTCCTGTGGTCACCCCACCACAGAACATGATGTGATGAGGGATGCTCGTACTATGTTGCAACAGTTGCGTTTGTTGCAGTCTAGGGTACCACGTGGTGACGTTTGACTACAGAGGCTATGGAGACTCCAGTGGTCACCCCACCACAGAACATGATGTGGTAATGGATTCTTGTACTATGTTTCAACAGTTGTGTTTGTTGCAGTCTAGGGTACCACGTGGTGACGTTTGACTACAGATGCTATGGAGACTCCTGTGGTCACCCCACCACAGAACATGATGTGATGAGGGACGCTCGTACTATGTTGTAACAGTTGTGTTCATTGCAGTCTAGGGTACCACGTGGTGACGTTTGACTACAGAGGCTATGGAGACTCCAGTGGTCACCCCAACACAGAACATGACGTGGTAATGGATGCTCGTACTATGTTGCAACAGTTGCGTTTGTTGCAGTCTAGGGTACCACGTGGTGACGTTTGACTACAGAGGCTATGGAGATTCCAGTGGTCACCCCACCACAGAACATGATGTGATGATGGATGCCCGTACTGTGTTGGACTGGGTCAGAGGTCATGTCAGGGGTGGAAACATCTTCTTGTGGGGTCACTCACTGGGCTCTGGGGTAAGCAAATAGTTGATCTTAAGCTAAAAAAGATTTAAAAGTAATGCTAGAAAGCTAGAAGACCATTATTATTTCCCATTGTTACCTTAAGCCTACTTTGTATCATTCCTCATTTACTATTCGGTATAGGTCTTATAAGGAGATAGTCATAAAATGTTTTTGAAGGAGATGCAGGAAAAGGGGTTTTAAGACCCAAAGACTACCCTCTCACAACCTCCTCTACTCATCAGACACTAGGCACTTAACGCATTCAACAGAACTAGGCAGAGAGTACCTAAGCTCAAAGGGCTTACTTGTGCCGTTCATTTCTTACATGACCTAGACTGCAATCCGATCTTTTGATGTCCCAAAGAAAATGTGAACAGCAGTCCCAGTGTGCCATTACTAGCTCACACATTAATACAACTGACAGCATACCAAGATGTTGAGTGACTCCTGGCAGAATAAGGTATGTGAACAGCGGAAGATCTTGTGTTTTGCATTGTCAGGAACGCTTGAGCAGTTAATACTGTCGTGTGAAAAGGACTTGGCCATCAAGAGCAACTATGAATGGAAATATCCATCACCTGACAAGAACTTCATGAGGTGTAGTATTAGTCTGCCTGGCCATAATGCTGATCCACCAACAGTTTGACTTGCTTGATGGCGACAGTCCATCGACCTCACGTCTCCGGTTCCCAGATCTGCCATGTCTGGAATGTGCGTGAGCGCTCTTCCATTCTTCCGGTGTCTTTACTGACGTAACCTTGTCTATGGTAAATTTCCTTCCTTTCCGCTGCCAAGAGTTTGACAGGGTTGACTCCAGCAATCACAAAGACGTATACTTCAGACACTGTAATGTAGGTGGGAGCAACTTTATGTGCCGCTTGATGCTGCACTCGAACAAGGCTCAACCCAAACGCTTCTTTGTTGAGCACGTCTGCCCACAATTTAAGACATAAAGAGGCATGGACTCGATTTCAGACATCAAGAGTCTCCTGTTGGACCAAGGAACCTCAACATTGCCCATGAGCTTACTAAAAGCTGTGACACTCCTAGCAGCCTGCAGCTGTGCTGTACAGAAGATCTGGTCCCTCCATGTTGTCTACCATAACAAGGAGGTACTTGGCGGTTCGTGCAGTTTGGACAACTACATTCCCTAATCATAGCAGAACAATGGTGTCGATCCATTTCTTTGTAAGGATGACGATCTATGTCTAGCTCAAAGCAGGCGATATACCATGATCAACCATCCAGGCATTTACGTTTTGAATGACCTGGTACAGTTTCAGTTGGGCCAGCTTTCCCATACTCACAGTGCAGCATATATATGCAGCACTGAGGGCTGAACCTCATCGGTGTACGCAACTAAAATGGACTCCTCTGGCAGCTTGGAACTTAAAAGACTGTCATAGGCAACATTCCACAGATCTGGGCCGAATATAAAACATTGAGCTAAATGGTTTATGTTTTCTTGTTTTGTCAAATGATCCTTTCCCAAAATTAGTTTTGATATAGTTTAGGACTTCTGGAGTCCATTATCAAGTATGACAAAAACATCAGGTCATCTATTTCCGATTTGGTTGGATCCGTCATTACGTTACCATTGTACACACCCAACACAAATAAAATACTGAAAAACTGTCCAGTGTTATCACAGAAGAAACGTGCCCACGCCAGAAGATGAGTCATTGGATCGGAGTTTTATGAAGTCATACAATTTTCTAAAATATGTCTTTTTCAATGGAAATGCCTAATTTTAAGTACAACTATTGTGTAGAGCTAAAAACAAAGTAATATAAAAAAAAAATTTTGTATACTGAAGCATTGTTGTGCAATTAAAGGTTATAGAGAAAATGAAATAAAAACTGTACGTTTACAATTCTCATGGAGAAAAAGAAAACTGTGATAGTTTGCTTGTTTATACTAGTTTGCTTACTAGTTTGCTAGGATATACTAGCAGTTACCCGGCGCGCGTTGCTGCGCTAACAAAATACATCTGTCTGTGTGAAAAGCATGTTTTTTTCTACATTTAAACTGTCAATAGTCAGGGATTGCCCTAGTGCCTTATAATGGTGATTGCGAAAGCAAGACACTAAGGAAATTGTAGTTGCTTAAATTCAGAGGGTAATTCGGTTGAAATCATCAGTATTCTTATGATTAAGACTATTTGTCCCTTAAAACTACCACTGATAATTTTTGCTTTAATCAATTTTGACGCCATTTTTTAAATCGTTAGTCTGGTAACGTTGTACAGCTTAAGTGGATTTAAGTTTTGCATTAGTATTATTGGAGTTCCTTCTTTTAATGACAGTAATGTGGTGGGTTGATGACAAATTGAGAGGCACATGAATACCCAAGATAGCACGCTTGATTATTATTCACTTAATAATTTATGATAGATTGTGTGGGTATAGAACGAAAGATAAAAATATTAAGGCATTGTCATCCCTTTTATTGTTTATAATACTTTGATAAATGTTTTTATGTTTTTAATATTTAACATTGGAGAATTTAAACGTTGTTGAGTGCACAGGTGCAGGCCCGTTTTTGACCCTGTCAGCGCCCTAGGCACAACTATATAGTAGCGCCCCTTTGCTATATATATATACAGGGTGTCCACCGACCGGGAAAACTGGGAATCCGTGAATTATGCTTGAGTTTTTTTTAACCAGGAAATATGCGTAAATTTTGTATATGCACCTGGAATTTTCAATTTACCGCCATTGCGAATGACAATAGTTACGTTTCCGTGACCGCGTGAGACGACAATATGTCTACACACGGCAACGAGGGATTATCAGAATTTTCCGCGAACGAAGAAGACGATGGTGATTGAATTGATTTGAATTGAATATCTACAGAGCCACGAGGGATGATCAGAATATTGTCGTGATAACGGAAGGCGATGATGATGTCCACACAAACGCAGGAGACAGCAAAAATTTTGCCGCGATCGCAGAAGACGATGATGATCGCCACAAGATGGCAGGAAATGATTACCATTTTGCCCCAATCGTGGGAGGCAATTGCTATGTACAAACAACCGCGGGGGACGATCAATGATGTCTTCACGGCCGCGAGGGATGTTTAGAATTTAATGGCGATAGCGCAAGACGCGATGATAATGTCCATACAATCGCGGGAAAATTCAGAATTTAGCCTCATTTGCGGAACACGATGATGATCTCCACAAGATGGCATGAAATGATTACCATTTTGCCTCAATCGCGGGAGTCAATTGCTATAAACAAACGACCGCGGGGTACAATTAATGATGTCTTCACGGCTGCGTAGGGTGATCAGAATTTTGCCTCATTCGCGGTACACGATAATTATCTCCTCACGACCGCGGGAAATGTTCATATATTGCCGCGATCATGGAAGGCAATAATTATGTATACACGACCGTGAAAAATAGTCAGAATTTTGCCTCAATTGCGGGAGTCGGTTACGATTTCTACACGGCCGGGAGGGATTTTTGGAAGTTTACTGCGATCATGCAAATACAACTACCAATTTTTTTTATTTACCAATTTTTTGGCGCCCCCCAAAAAAGCCAATTGCCTCGCGCCCTAGGCACGTGCCTACCGTGCCTATTCAGTAAATCGGCCCTGCACAGGTGTGCTGCGATTGGGGTTTATACATTTGGACTTATTCACAAGTAAAATAGTTTTCTGTGCTGCACTCTGTAGAAACACTGTGGCACTATTTAAAATCATGACTAATGCTAATACAGAATGTGATTATTCAAACCTACAAAACAGTTGGTGAAAGTAAACATATGCTTTTAACTCTTTCAAGCACAGTGTTACATTTATGTAACAGACTTTTTGACTTTTTTGCTGCACGGTGTTACATCTTTGTAACGCGAGACATTTTTTTTTTTTGTAAATAATACTCCTAGCGCTATGCATCTCGAAACTTTAAATGTTAGTACTATGGACCTTTGCTAGGTGGCAGCACCATCCATTTGTTTACACTCTTACAAATAACTCCTAGAAAACAGCTGTTCCTGGTGAAAGACTCATGCCCAAGATCCCGTCTTTATTTTTATGCAAATGAAAGATATGTTGTTATTGATTATATGATTCCTAGCAGGCACAACACGAACACAACCTACTGACTACTGAGGAGTACTGGACTGGACTTGGACTGGCGCCGCGCGGTAGTTGGTAGTTAAGTTGTGACTTGTGGGGATGGGGGTGGGACTGGGAGGGAGAAGAGGGGCAAGTCAACCGTAGGCCCTACATACTGGCCTACAGTCTACAGCTGGCCTACATGCTATTCCCGTAATTTGCTGACGTAACCCAAATTGCAAACAAAAATCAGCTGATGTATTGCCATATAAGTATACATTTGTTTTGATTTTCTTATTGTTTTTACAATTTTTCTCAATGGTAAAATGGTGTTTGCAATCTGAGTGACTTCTGCATATGACGGGAATTAGCACACCTATGTGCTAATTCCTTCCACCATGCAGGCCTCCTTGCCTCTGATAGTATAGTGAGTGCGCCCGGTTCCTGGCCCGGTTCACAATGCTGCCTGCCTTTCCCTGACTACATGAGGTATAACCTAAAAGTTGAGTATTTTCAATTTTGTTGTATTTATTTACTTTTACAATAGGGGAAAATCACTTAACTACAAGTTGAAATCACCCATTATATTTTTGAAATCCCCCATATTTTTCCTAGTGCGTGCGGTGGTTCAGGGCGCCCCTCGGGCGCCCCCCAGCCACCGGCGCCCCTGGGCATATGCCCAGTCTGCCCGTTTATAAAAGTGGGCCTGATTCCTATGCTGTTTTGTAATGCACTATTATAATAGCGTCCCTTGTAATAGTTTAGAGTCAAAAATCAGTAAAAAAGCTGTTTCCCTTCCCTGTAGCAGCAAATTTCTAATAATTTTAAATTCAAATTTTTTAATCTAATTTTATTTAAATGGGGAATAAACCTGGTCCTGCTAAACATAAATATTTTACTTGAAAGCACAATATTTTAATGCAAATATTTTAGTACAAATCTAATCAGGCAAATGGAAATTCCCTTAGTTTGCAGGTTTGCTGCAGCGTGGGTTTGCTTTCATTCTACCTTTTTACCCTTATACAGGTTTTTTTTTTATTTCAACAGGTTGGGTCATATAAATTATGATTTCAGGTGGTATCTAAGCTGTTGTTCAACCTGGAGCTAGAACCAGACAATCCTGTGGTGGGAGCAGTTCTGGAATCTTCCTTTAACAACCTTGAAGATGCCATCCGTGCCTACCCTCCATCTAGGGCCTACACCAGTTTACCAGGATTCGACTTCTTTGCCACTGAACCGATCACCAACCAAGGGATTACTTTCCGAAGTGAAGATTATCTAACGAAGGTGTCTTTGCCATTGATGTTCCTGCATGCCAAGGATGATCATATTGTGCCATACAAGTTGGGGGTCAAGTTGTATGAAACAGTTGTTAAGTCTCGCAAAGATAAATCCACAGTTGAATTTGTGAGTTACAATGAAGACCTTGGCTACGGACACACAAAAATCCACGAAGATCCTAATCTAGGGGGAAAAATCCAAGAGTTTGTGGAAAAGTCCATTGGGCGAAAAACAAATCACTTGTACATGTAATAAATATACACATGATGTTCTACGTGTTTATTTTTTTACAACCAAATTCTAGTGTTAGGAAAGCAGTTTACTTTTATTTATGAATGTTTAAAAAATTAGTTAGAACAAGGGAAAGTTATGATAACTATTTATGTAACTTGATTGTACTAGATGAGTAGTTACTTTTCAAACCACACTGCTAAAAATCCTAATAATAATAATTGTTAAATTGCCAATGCTTTAGACTCTTGATTTGATTTAGCAAATTTCCGGATTGGGAAATAAATATTTGTGTATTAAGATTAAGAGCGCAAAGTACTTCATTGCCGCTCAAGAAATGTAGATGACCACATACAGGCTGTCTTTGCAACCATATGAAGAAACATTGCCACGTTATTCAGCATGTCAAAAGGAACCAAAAATTTAATGTAACATGTGTCCTATCTCATGTTGTTTTCGTCTGTCTGTCTGTATGTGTTTTTTACAAAAACATTCATAAATCGTTGACGGATTGACCTATGGTATTGTAATTCTGCAAAAACGTTTATCTTATTAGCATCTATTAAAAAAAAAACCTCTTTAACCGTTTGAAAATGGCGGCTATTTAAAATGTTTGATTGAAAATTCCATAAAAACCGCTAATTTGGCAAAATATGTAAAATTTAGCAAATTGTATGCATATTTCAACAATATAACAATATATTTCAAGGATTATAAGCTTATTTTTGACAAGTAATGTATGAGGAATTATTATTATTTTTTTTTTTTTGCCATACCTAGAGTTTTCACAACGTTAAAACAATAAAACTACTTTTCAACAATTTAGGTGGTTTTTATTTATTTTGTTTTCAATGTTATTTTTTCATAAAACCCCATACAATAACAGAAAAATGTAACTTTCTAAAAACATCCAAAACTATTTTGAAAAAAAATCTAATATGTTATGGCCATTTTAACTCTAAACAAAATGGTGTAAAAATTTTGGTTCAAATGTTATTGTAAATCCTCTGATCTACCCACAAAAACCCATATTATTTAGAAAAGTCTGCTATCTTAAAAGAGGGCTTGACCAATTTAAATTTAGTATGCTGCAGTTCCTTATAATTCTACAGAAAATGGTACAATCCAATTGCTGAAAAAATTATTATTCAAAAGCTATTACAACTTCTGCAGATCATCGACTCAGAAATCTCAGCTCAGGTTTCAGTACTTAGCTATGTTGCGCCATTGAACAGCCCCGTGAGAAGAGCGTTCACGGAAACTGCCTTTGTAAACTACCCATACATGCCAGTAAAAAACAAAGAGTGGGGTTTTACAAAACAAAGAACAATCTATGCGTCTCTGGTTTTAGAATTTTTAAGTAACAATTTCTATAATGAGTTGAGGCAGTTTAAAATTGCCGTTTTTCGTCTACATACAAAGAAGATGTTCATTTTCATCGCATATGTGCGCTGGTCTATATGAATGAAAAATGTTGTACTATTGCGGTAACGAACGTATAAGGTAAACTTTTTCCATTTAATTTATTCAACGGTTGAGTAAAATGGTAATTTTTAAAAGGTTTTGCTATTGAAACTTTGAAGGAGGGCCTCCTAAATAAATTTAAAACTATTGCAGTTGGATTGTAGAAATGAAGAGTAATGCTCCTGGCGATCTCTTTGTATCTTCTTTGATGATTCAGCGACATCTGCCTGTACAACAACAGTTTTGAGTGACAAGGTCCAACGAACTCTCACCCATTTGCCACATTTAGATTACCAAACCAATATTGAGCTTGAGTAATCCAAGCATAATTACATCCAAACATTAAGCTTATGTGAGTCGGTGGCTCAGTCGGTAGCGTTACGGACTTTGCGCCGAAGGCAGCGATGTCGTGGGTTCGGATCCTGGTCACTGCCACTAAAATTTATCAGTACAGTTCACCTTTATACTGTACCGGCTCACTCCTTGCTTTGCTGTAAACGATCCACGCACGGGCGCTTAGTCTATGTGGACGGGCAAATGCAAGGTTAAAAGAGGCCGCCAACCTATAAAAAAAAAAAAAAAAAAAAGCTAAGCCCAGGGAAGTTGTGTTATATTCTCCCTTAGTAGACCTTGTCAGTATTGAAAGATTTTAACTAAGGACATAATTTACTATGTGAAGGTTGGGTGCTTTAATGCTACTACTAAACAAACCTTAAAGTTACCAGGTATAACCAGAAAATGTTAATCTAGACGCACAAATTTCTTACACTTTCTTACAGGTTAAGTGTAAGAGAGGGCCGTATGGCCCTAACTTTGCCTGACTAAATAAATCATTTTTCATTTCATTTCACGAATGGTGTCATCTTGTCTTCAATTTTGAATTTCATCTCTTTTAAATTGTTTCTATGGTGAATAGTGTTACAAGTCAGGAGCCCCGCGCAACAATAGCCAGGCGCCGTCTCAAAAGGGTTGTTTGTTTACACGGGTTTCTCCTAGCGCACAACTGATAGACAATAGACCCATGTCAACGGACTACCTCAATAGGGGCCCTAGAACCTTCTACACTTCTACGGCGTAACATTAACGGCGTACACCTTTGTCTAGGCTACCAGGTGTCTCCAGAATGTTCCACGGAAAACTTATATAAGGGACCGTCTTCCGGCACACGGCAGTTGAGTTGAGTTGAGCCTTCCGAGAATCGTAGCAGCAAGCGCCCGTCGGTGTTAGTGACCAGTGCTAGTGCTAGTGGAGTGACAGTGTAGTGACAGTGAGAGTAACAGTGTAGTGACTCTAGTGACAGTGTTGTAACAGAAGTGATAAATCCTGTAGAGGCTAGCTGTAAGTAGAAACATTGTAAATTAGAATAGGCTTTAGCTAGGTTTAGATAGGGTTAGTTAGGTGTTAGGTAATTCTAATATCTGTAAATATAGAATAATTAATTAGTGTAAATAAATAGTTATTATAAAATCGCCAAGTTTTTATTGTAAAGAACCCGTTAAGCCCGCAACAATTGGTGTCAGAAGTGGGATTATTTTGGCGATTTTATTTGTAAAAAAAAAAGAATTAAGGATTTTGTTAGATATTAGTAAGATTCAAGGTCTTTGTTACATATTAGTAATTTGTGTTGTAAATTTGTTTACAAAGGATGAAATCATTTATTGTAAAATTATTGTAATTGTTTTGCATAAAAATGGCTTTCAAAGGTGTAAAACTTGATGAATTAAAAGTAGCTGATCTTAGGAGAGAATTAGAAGAACGAGATCTAGATACTAGTGGAACTAAATCAGCCCTTCAGGCACGCCTTAAACAAGCTTTATTGATGCAGGTGAAGACCTAGATAACGTTTTATTTGAAACATCTGATTTCAATAAAATGCTTAAAAACTTAGAGTCAAAAATGTCTGAAAATACTAAAACACTAGAATCAAAAATGTCAGAAAATAGTAAAACCTTAGAAAACCTAGAAGCTAATATTGAGGCAAAAATGTCAGAAAACAGCAAAACATTAGAGTCAAAAATGTTAGAAAATAGCAAAACATTAGAGTCAAAAATGTCAGAAACTAGTAAAGCGTTAGAAAACCTTGAAGCTAATATTGAAACAAAAATGTCAAATGTAGAATCAAAAATGCTAAACAAGTTAGATGAGTATTCTAGCAAAGTTGATGATTTAGAAAGTAGGATGAATGAAATAGATGAGAAATTTAATTGTATAGAAAAAAATCTAGAAGATAGGTTAGTTAAGCTTAGGCAGGAAATGGCTGCATCGGGGAGCTTCACACCTGCGTCATCGGCTAGCACTAGCGAACTTCAGCAGGATAAAGCCCTAGAAACGATCTCCAAGCCAGCGCCCACCATTGCTGCCGTTGCCCCTCAGAACATCGTTCCTCACTTCGATGGCAAAACCCCCTGGGAGGACTACATGCTTCTCTTCGAGACAGCGGCTATGGTGCATGGGTGGACCGAGGAGACAAAGGCTTCAGCACTGTGTCTTGCACTACGGGGCGATGCATTAGCTGTTCTGCATGCTATGCCAATGGCGGAGCGGAAGAATTTCACAGAATTAGTAAGAAGATTGGACATGCGCTTTGGACATAGACATATGGACCAGCTCTACCGATCACAGCTGCGGAACCGGATCCAGAAGCCCAGCGAGTCACTCCAGGAGTTTGAAGCCGACATTGCTCGCCTGGTGAGAAACGCCTATCCATCGGTCACGGATGATGTCTACGAGAGTTTGGCGGTGGATAAATTCCTAGACGGTCTACGTGAACCTGAGACTCAACAGGCAGTGAAGCTCGCCAGACCAAAGACCCTGAGTGACGCACTGACACAGGCACTGGAGTTCGAGGCTGTGCGACAGTCGGTGAGGGGCCAGGCTCGAGTCCGCGTGGCAGACGCGGAACCTACAACTCCACTGGACATCGAGGAGCTAGTAAAGAGAGTGCTGGAGGCACTAAAAACTCGTCGCCGGCAGATACGCTGTTGGAGCTGTGGACAGATGGTACATCCCCGGAGTAAATGCCCTTCGACCACATCAGAACCGAAGCAGGAAAACTAAGGAGGGCTGATGGAAAGGGGCAACCGTCAGCCCGCGATTGGAAAGCCCCGAGGAAAAGTGTTAAAGTTGCTTCACTGGGAAGTCAGTCGAACAGTTTCTACGTCGACGGAAAGGTGAACGGGCGTCTCCAAAGCTGTCTTCTGGACACCGGGGCGACTATGACCATCCTGAATCCAAACACTGTGTCGACGGAAGATATTTCACCATCATCATGGTCTCTACGTACAGCTACAGGTCAACTGGCTCAGGTCTATGGGCAGACGGTTGCTACCTTCCACATCGGCGGCTGCGTGTTTCAACACTGCGCACTTGTTGCCGACATAGACGAGGACGTGATTTTGGGAACCGATATAATGGTGAAGTACGGACTGAAGTTGGACATGTCAAGAGGACTAGTGACTCTCGGAGACGAAGATGTCATACTTCGGCAAGGAAAAGATATCCCTGCACGCGTACTTCTACTGGAAGACACAATGCTACCAGCGCGCAGCCAGGTCATCGTTCAAGCTACAGTCGAAGGAG